TGTGACAATAACACTGCCAAAATTAGACAAATAGTAATAACAAGTATGATGCAAAAGCTTTGTGTATATATATTTTTTTCTTAATGAACCACTATTTGTTGAAAAAAATGTTAATGAACCTTGGACAAGAATGTGTGCACAACCTATTCACTGACCCTAGAACAAGAATGTATGCTATGTGTAAGCAGCACGTACAAAGTTTGTCAAGATGCCACATCTGGAAAACACTGTTTATGTTATCAGAAAAGCATATCCTGAAGGACATCTAATAAAAAAGGAACTGTCTGTTGGAAAATCAGCCAACCACTGCACAAGAGTCACGTAACTTTTGAACAAGAATAATAGTATAAAAACCAATGGAAACAGCATGATGAAATACTGGGGCCTGAACAATAGGCCAGAACTGAAGCTGACCTCTAGATGAATTTCAACACCCCACAATATAGTACTAATCATATATAGTATTAACCATATATATAATGTATTATTAGTCTGTCTTAGTATATTTATGTATAGAAGTTTTGTGGTAATTTCATTATGTAGCAATAGTCAATCAACTAATCTTTCTATATTTAAAAGCATGTGATAAGGCTGCAAGGCCAGACATCTGAGCCTATTAAGAAATATGTGGTTTCGGCCCCTCTTGCATCATCACCAGACACCTGACTGTGTTAAGAAATATATGGTTATGTGGTTAAAGCCCAAATAGATACAAACGCTCCTTTGGGTTCCTCCTTAAACCCTGGCCGGGCTTTGGGCGAAATCCAACAGGGAGGGGACACCAGATGTTTCCGCACTCAAAGTTCTGAATCCTGTTTATTCAACCGTATAAAAGATGGACCCTCTTGCAGCTACTTTGGAGACCCCACCTACAAGTGGACGCACTGCGTAGGACCTCCCAATTGCTGGGAAAGGTTCTCCAAATCCTCTCTGCCATCGGGGCCCCCTAACGACTGCACATCTGGATGATGGTAAAGCATGAGGGTAATTGGTGATGTATCTTTCTTAATCACTGTAGCTGACCTTATATAGTAATGATTAGGTGCATTACCTTGTTTTGGTTTATTTTTTGTCATATTATTTTAAGACTATGGAGCATTATCATGTTTATTCTCTTTGCTGCTTATCACTCGAGTATAATAAGCTTACCATTTTGACTAAACACATTATCTTATGTTTTGTATTATTTTGCAATAACTAGTAAAATAAGTCTATTCTTTCTGTTGATATCTGAGTCCTTTCTGTTAATCCCCTCAATCGGCAAAACACATGATCATTAGATTGTGTACAAGGCTGCAACAAAATGAATTAGTTATGTGTGTGTCAGTTTCAGAACCAGGTATGCAGAATCAATCACTCTGGCATTGTTGAATGCTTCACTTGCAAGTATTATCTTGTTATCATTAAAGAAAACAAACCAAAAATGCTTGTGTAGGATCTAGTAACCAGCTCTTGAGGGCTTGTTGCAAAGTGGGTGCAACACTGGATTATGATACACTGGGACTATTGTATAGCTTCACAATGAATTAAAATGTTGTCTTACAAATGCAGTTCTGATCTCTTCAGTTTTAACTAAGGAAGTCGTCCAGAATCATGACCTCAGTCTTAAAAAATGAAATTTAGCAATGATTTTGGAAAACAGTTTTTAATCAAATAATCTTGATCTTACAAAAGCTAGACACAAATATCTGAATAATAGAGCAGGGAAGCCTGGCAATTGTTGATAACTCTGTCAAACACAATACTGAGTGTGATTCTGATGAGAAATCAGTCTGAGTAAAATAAGAAAGTAAAAAGATCACAGGTCACAGAAACTAAAGGGGATAAAAAGTCAACTCACAAACTACGGAGTCAGAGAAGCAGCAGCAGATCAGCATTGAAGACCCCGGTATCTCAGGACCAACTGTTATGGAAGCAAAGCAATCCAGCAGGGCACAAGCAATCCAGCAGACTTCTGAGTGCTTTGACAACTTCTTAACAGAGGAGATTGAGGAGCTGATGAGGGGAGATGCTCTGCTAGCATTACAAGCAAGTTGGAGTCCCTGTCATGGATGTGGAGGTTCGGGCAACCTTGAAATGGAGTGCAGGATCACGAAAAGAAGGAAGAAGGCAAAAATCAGCATCATGGTCCTGGACTTCAAGAGGCCAGACTTTAGCCTGTTCAGGGATCTACTTGGATTAATCTATTTGATATGATCCTGAAGAGAGGTCCAGGAGACCTGACTGTGGTGGTGTTTTCCCCTGAGGAATCACTTTTTGCAAGCTCAAGAATGGTCCATCCTGGTGTGGAGGAAAGCCTGCAAAGTTGGCAGGAGAGCCTGCATAGATGAACAAGGAGATCCTGACTGAACTCAAGCATGAACAGGAAGCGTACAGGATGTCCTCATCTTCTTACAAGCCCCCTTTAAGTATTGAGAGGCTGCAATAAGGTGTCCCCAGAGTTCTCTTCTCTGGGCTGAACAACCCCAGCTCTCTCAGCCTTTCCTCATAGGTTCCATCCCTCTGATCATTTTTGTGGCCCTCTTCTATACCTGCTCCAACAGGCCCATATCTTTCTTATACTGAGGACTCCAGAGCTGGATACAGAACTCCAGGTGAGGTCTCACCAGAGCAGAGGGACAGAATCACTTCCCTTGCCCTGTTGGCCACTCTTTGGATGCAGTCCATGATACAGTTGGCCTTTTGGGCTGCGAGCATACATTTCCAGCTCATGTCCATGGTTTTAGTGAAGTACAGTTTCATCTTCAGAACTTCATAGACTTCTGTGATGACTGGCTTGGCAGATGAGTGTAGAGCAGTGGATACATTTGTTTCAGTATGACTTTTGACAGTCTCTGATAACATCATAGGTAATCTGATGAAGTTTAGAATCATAGAATAGCTTGGGTTGGAAGGAAGCTTTAAAGGTCATCTAGTCCTGCAATAAGCGGGTGCATCTTCAACTAGATAAAGATTGCTATCCAGCCCAGTATGGTCATACCACTTAACATCTTCATTAATGACCTTGACAATGGGGCAAAGTGCATGCTCGCTCACAAGTTTACAGCTGATCCAAAACTGGGAACAACAGTTGATGTACCTGATGATGCCCCTCTCAACAGAGACTGGTCTGAGGAAACACTAACCGGATAGCCCCCCCCCTTCAGGGGATGCTCACACTAACCAGATAGCGCCCCCCCTTCAGGGGATGCTCACCAGATGGCCTCCATCAAAGGATGGTAACTCCTTTGCAATGGAATGAGAAAGAACAAGACGGGCCATTGATGGTCCATATCAAAGGACAGTAACTCCCTTATGATTGAATGGAAGGAAGACAGGACAGGCCATCTCTGGTATCTCTTGTCCTTGAGATAAGAGAGGAACTAAAACCACTGAGCCATTAGGACAAAGAAGCTGCAAATTAGCCCAGACTTGAAGGACAGGGTGTACATGACTACAGGACTGAGTTTGTGCAGAAGTAAGGGTCCACTAGCAAACACAGCGAAGAAGACTAGGAGCCTTCATCTGAAGACCCCTGCCCACGACCACCAGGGAGCACTGCACAAGCACGATGGGAGGAATTTGGGGTGGGGGGGTATGTTAATGAATTCTCAGAACTAATTGTAATATTCCCTCCCTGTCCACAGAGTAGTGATGCATATGTATTAGAATTAGTGAATATGTAACGCTTTTAAGCAATAAAAAGGGGCTGTTTTCTGCTCCATGTGGCACACGCTTGTGGAGTTATCCCCCATGTGCCCAGCGCTGAATAAACATACCTACTTTATGACCTTACTGGTTGTAAAGTCGTGATTCCAGGCCTCAGTAGCAACTGACAGGTTGGAGAAATGGGCAGAGAAGAACCTCATGAAGCTCAGCAAAGGAAAGTGGTGTCCTGTACCTGGGGAGGAATAACCCCATGTACCAATGAAAGCTGAGGCCTGGCTTACTAAAAGCGGGTTTGCAGGGAGTCTATATTCAAGCACTTCCTGAATCACTGGTTACAGCCTGTTGTTTTACCAGTACAGTGTCTCTCCACGTTTAAGCTGATGTGGCTGAAGTTGTTACTGCAGCTGCCTGCAGTCAAATCAGTGTAAGAACAGCGTGTAACTGCTCTCTGAGACAGCCTGGTGCCCGTTTCAGTTTGAGATACAGCATGGGTGTGTGAAGTTTGGTAGTTCATGAGCTGCTTCAGAAGCAACTCTTGAGGTTAAATAGTAAAGGCTGTTACTGGACTGGTAATTATTTCTAGTCCACAAGTTGAGGAGTAGCAAACCTACCTTCAGTACAACCCGTCTCATTGCTACCCACTAGCCTTTACCTGCTGCCAGACTAGCTAATGGGAGAAGCAAATGTGGTAAACAATCTTGTGAAAAATTTGCTTGTCAGCCAGGGGTGTCTGCTGGTCAGATTCATCATGCAGGCACAAAGAATTTGCTAGTACCACACGGTTTCCTGAAGATTTATCATGTCTCCTGACCCCATGAAAAGGATCTTGAGGGAGGCCTGCTAGCACTCCCTGCTCAACCCAGCACCTCCCACCACTATGGGGATTTCTGCCTTCCCAATGCTAAAATAAATATTTTTAAAATGTGTTTATTTGAAAACGTGTTTTGTTGGAAAAATCTCTTTCTAAACTGTCAAGAATCTCATGAATTATTTTGATGTAATAGAGTAAAAAGCCATAGCCTGCACACATGCTCTATTAAACCTCTTCCTGTCACAAGCATCCTGTTTCCTTCACTGATGGCAGCAATGGGGGAAACAGTGGTTAAACCAACTGTGCCCCTTGCCTGAAGGCTCCTAACTTCCCCAAGCTCCCCTGTACTGCTTCCAGGCTTGGGAAGATACTCTGTCCTAAATACTAAGCGGTGGAAGTGGGGAGAGACAGCCCCTTTGTGCGAGATTTGGCGTTTTTCACAGTAATTCAGGCTGCTTCGTGAGGCGCTCCCGCCCCTTCTCGCCACAGCCCCCGGGGCGATCCCATGGCGGCCCGGGAGCAGGACTACATCTCCCGTCATGCCCGCCAAACGGCGGGAGCCGCCGCCATTTCGGCACCGTCCCCCGGAGCCGTCGGGCCGCGGCGGCGCCGCTTTCCCCGCTCCTCGCCGCCGCCATGAGCCGCCTCAGCGGCGGTTGGGACGGCGCCGGCGAGGAAGTCCAGCTCCTCCTGGACCTGTGAGTGCCGCCCCGACACCCTCCCCCTGCACCCGCCGGCCCCTTTCCCTCCGGGGGGCTCAGGGCCGGCCGGGCGGGCCGGGCCGCTGCGCTCCTGGCGAGGCCTTGAGTGAACGCGGCGCTGCCGAGGCGGCCCTCGGGGCCCTCCCGTGGGGAGCCCGGGGAAGGGTTTGGCAGGCTTTTGGCGGGGGTGGGAGAGTAGGTGGCAGCGTTTGGTACTGGTGGCAGGGTTTAACAGGTAGATAACGGGATGATCCCTGACAGATCTGGATATGGAGGGATGGTTGAGGATCCCTGGCTTCAGCAGGCCCCAGTGAATCCACTGAATGGTGTTTTGCTCTGAGTTTTTCGTTATGTCAAAGTCCTTTGTCTTTAGGAGGGAGCTAGAGATAACAGGGATAAAATATTTTATTTGATAAAAGAAAAATAGCAAGCAAAGAATACGGTTAGTCTTTGACTGTAATTCTTCTTTTAAAACACTGAAGATAAGATTATAGTTGCCCTGGTGTAGCCAATAAGTGTTTTATTGCTTCCTGTGAAGTATAATAACATTGAAAACATTTATAATTGAAATGATTAATTGTTTAAGCTTCAGATCTGTAATGTACTCTGAGAATGTCAACTAGCTTTTTGAAAAGAATGTGATTAATGTTAATATTTTCTCAAGCTAAAGTTAAAATTCTGTGACAATAGGCAGTTAAATCTAACTAGAAGATTTGGCATAACTCACATTAATTTCTATGTATCTCTATTGGTTTTGGAGTATTTTCTGCAAATTTGAACTAAGTGGTTGGTCTAGATTTGCAGGTCCCTGTTCAAGCATGGCTGCATTAGCCACTTAGTATTTTCCAGAGAAAAAAGTAATACTATGTTGCTACTGAGCTTTTAGATACAAGTAGCTTTATGTACTACAGTATATGCTGACAATCTGCCTCCTTCAGGATGAATTTCCAGAAAAGTTCATTTACCCAGTGGCCAAAATGTACGTGTCGTATGATAAATAGGTGTTTATAAAGTAACTGAAGTGTGTGCCCTTGTATGGGAAAGGACTGCTTGCCCATTCACATGACTCAATAGGCATCCATCAGAGAAGAGGGAACAGTCACAGGGTGGGTGCACACATGCCCCCACAAAGGCTCAGAAAGTTTGTTGTGTCTTACCCTAGCCAAAGGTAGGGTGTTGTTTTGCAGCAAAGAGGTGCTGGTTCATTTGGGATCTCAGTAGGAAAGGCATGGGCTCTCAAGGCTAGTTAACTGGTTTGCTGCATAAAGAATAGTAGTCGTAGGAAACGTGATAGCAGTCATATGTCACTTCTGATGCTGAGGACCCTAGCTATTGCAGCATGAGACAAGCCCCTTCACATTGATCAGCGTGCTGCATGGAGTCTGTCTGTGGTGAGGTTCATGCTTGTAGTCTTTAGAGCTTTGATAAGATTTTTTCTTTTTAGAAATAAAACTATTCATTCCTACAGTCAAGGAAAGGAATGTTGCGTATAGATACGCTGTTTAATCTCAAAACAAGACAAAGAATGTGGGTAGTGTAATCTACTTGCACTGAGTTGGAGCCATGCACAGGCTTCTGTTACAATCAGTCAGCCAAATTCATCCAGCAGTCACTGAGGGTTGGTGAAGGCATTGCATTCTTACACATCTCCAGAGGAACAAGTTAAAGGCGATCATGGTGTATGCTCAGGTTATGTCGTGGTCATTCATGCTGACATACGGGTCTCTGCAAGCGAGGCCTGTGGTTGAACTCTGCCCACATTCTGCTTGAAATTGCTGTCTTCTGTAGTGATCTGCTGCAGGTGCTCTTATTACACTGTGCTAAAATTAGTGGGTTTTTTAATGTGCTCCCACACTGGAAATCTTGCTTCTTTCCTTTCTTAGATCTGTGGTACAATTTCGATTATAGAGCCTTAGTATTTTGACCTTTCTAGAGTTTTGAATTGGTATGGCTTTAATTTGCTGTGATTTGATGGTGTTCTGGTGCCAGACAAGGTTCTGTTGCAAAAAAATTGCCTACAGGGACTCCAGAGTTGTGACTGTGTGCAAAATCTAATTTGACTTAACTCTAGGCTGCTGCCCTCCCCTGCCACTTGTTCTGGCAGTATTATTTCTGTTACTTCACAGTTTGGTCAGGGGAATTTTCATTCAGATCAGATGCTGAACAGCTCATGCTGCAACTGTGAATTTCAGGGCGAGCATGAGGAAGGTGCAGTAAAAAGTGGTTGAGGAGACAAGAGGGTGTGGAACTAGCCTTCTCAACCTCTGCTTGGACTTTCCATTTGGTTAGAGTGGTGTGTAATGATAGCTGGCCTGCTAATAGAAATTAATTACAAAGGTTCTGTCTTGCTAATAACTTTTCTCTTTTTGCAAAGTGAAAACAGTGCCCATACTTTTTTTGTTGTGCGTGATTCATCTGTTAAAATTATACAAGATGAATATTACACTGTACGATTATGTTCTCATGATTGACCTCAGATGTTAGACCTAGTAATTTCTCTTTACGTATAAAGAATTTCTACTTTTGATTGGTTACTAATATTTTTATACTACTTTATTAGTACTGTTGCAGCGATTTTTCTATGTTAATACAACAATATAATTATTATACCGGTAAGACTAATACTTGAAACTAATAATTACACAACTTTTTAACAAGTGTGTGTAATTTTAGTGTATTGTTTGGGTGATGGCTATCTATTTATGCAATTCAAGCTTCTTTCTTATGCTAACCCTTAGGCTTATTGTTTAACTAGCAGAATTTAACAGCAGAAACTAAACTGAAACAAATCTGTTAGTGTGTGGAGTAGTCCTTTTAATGAGGTTATTATTTTTAAGATCTCCAAACCTAACAGAAAGTGCATTTATTAAGTTGTTTCTGCTGGTTGATGGTATCTGCTGCTTGTCAGCCTTGGCCCCCTGCCCCAAAAGAGAAGTTTGTACTCCGAAGGTCGCATGCACAAGAACATCATATTGGAAATATTTAGAAACGTTCTACTTTTTTTTTTTTTTTCCTCGAGTTATAGCTTATATTAGCTTCTGTTTCCTGCAGTTATTGGTCCCAAGATGAGAAATGACCAACTCACACATGCACTCCTAGCTGATGCAGTTTTAAGGCCAGCGTATTGAGGCATGCCAAATTTGTAGCTGTTTTACATAATTATGCTTGATTGAAAACTGACAGTATAGGAGTTGCAGGGCCTGACAAACAGAGTGGCTGCCTGGCAGCAGCAATGCTCGCTGGGGAGGTGGGGAAGGCAGATGGCAGCTTTAGCTGTCATACTCCTAGGAGGCTGCTGCTACAAATTTCTCAGAGCCCTGGCAGCTGTTTTAAGCTGTCTTGTTCATGCCCAGACATGAGCTCAGAACCAAGAGAGTTTCTGCCATCAAAAATGAGACTCTTAGAACAACACAAATGAAACATCAGATGTAAAGGTGTTTTAAGATTGTCTCTACATGATAAAGAGGTGTGCTGCACATGTAAGTCGTCACAAGAGTATGTAGTTAGGTATTGCTCAGGTTTGATTGTTCCACGTGTCGTTGATAGAGTGCTCCTGTGTAACAGGTAGCATTAGCACAGCGGTAGCCTACTGCAGACCAATGTATTACCTAACCTGTGTCTTGGAAAAGTAAGGTCTTACAAAGGCATCGGTACACCTGCATGAATGAAAACTGAAAGCAGAAGTAGAGCATCAGTTTCAAAACAGAGCTTCCTTTTACAGTCTTACTGTGAATATAAATTATCCAACCCTAAATGCAGGAAGGTATATCTATTTTGTTATTTGCCATGAAACCTATTCTAGTATCTGTTCTGGTTCATTTCACCTGATGTGTCCCACCTGTAACATCTGTTCTGCTATTCTATTTCATGTAACATAACTTAGTATAAGCTGCACCTTGATGTGTTAGACTATTTGTAGACTAGTTAGTCATAAAGACCTTATTTCTGTTTCATGTATTGGAAATATACACATTTGTCCTGTTACAAGGCCTTAGTCCTGTCGTAAAGCTTAAGGTTAAAGATCATAGGCCTTTTCTGGTCTGCACCTCTTGATACGTTTGGAACAAGTGAGTTATGGTGGCATTTGACAGTTTGTAGACAACTCGGAACTACAAACAGCTGGTGTAAGAGGTGTGATAATGTGGAGCAGGGGAAAACAGTTGAGTCTTTTATCAGGTCATTACAAGAGTAAAGCACTATTTCGTTTTCCCTGTCCATGAAAAGCAGGATTTATGGCTTCTTTCATTAAGTTAGACTGGGACAAAATCTATCTGCCAGGTGAATGCATTATAGTCTTTACTTACCAATCTTAGTTATTGCTGTGTGTATCCAGATCACATGAAAGTGTAGATGCCAGATACAGTAGAGAGAGTTACTATGCAGTTACAGTAGCTGCTCTGAGTTTAATAGTAGGGTGAGTTAATGCAAAAATGTTGATTCTACAAAAGCAAAATGTTTTGCAGGATGGTAATGTTTTCTTTCAACAATTTGGATAGGATTTAAAAAGAAAAGTTGGCCCAGGGAATCTAATTTGGGTAGCCATGATCAATAGATAATATAGCCTCCAATTCAAAGTACTCAGTTGTTTACGTGGACTTCTGTTAGGTTTCTAAGCAAGAGGAGGGACAGTGAGGAGTTAGCCTTCCTCCCCTGTTTTAACTCTCCATTTTAGTTTTGCTGTAGTGTAATGGTTTTTAAAGTCTTGGCATTTCCTCGACAACAAAATGTTATCTTTTCACTTACCTCTGGATGTTGGTTAGTTTCACTCTAGTTTGTGTTCCTCTTTACCTAGGGACTTTGTTTTTCAATAACAAAATCTCCCTTCAGATGGTTTAAATACCTTCCTTAAGGACCAGCAGTTGTTTTTTAGCATATTAACTAACAACTGGTGATTGCTCTGAAGGTCAACTTGCTCAGGATGCTTAGAAGCTATTCATAAACTCTTCCTGGAGTTGCCTTTGGTGTTTCAGTAAACCTATGATTGTGATTTAAAGTTGCAGAGGCTGGGCCATTAACATTTTATGTATCCTGTGATACATTAAAGTGCCTTAGGAATCTTAAAAAAATAGGATTACATTATCAGTGGCCTTCTTTAGTACTTCATATTGCATAAGTGAACACTCATGTATATTTGACCTTGAAAAGCATTATTTCATGTGTTCCACTTGGGTACTATTCCACATAGATCTGGATAATATTGATCTCTCTGTTTTATTTTGCTTAAGTAAAGTTCTTAATGTTTTCTTCCAAAAAGCTCTGTTCCCTCTGGAGTCTCTTAAGGTATTCTGACTGAAATGGTCCCTTTTCCTTGCATTCACACAGATAAAATTCTAGGATTTTGAGTCCTGTCTTAAAGCATCACCCAGCATTCTCTGGTTCTAGTAGGCCTATTAATATTTATTTTTGCTTAGTCCTTCCTTTTCTGATGAATGCTTAAGACCTGTGTGTCTTCAAGATTTGTTTGCAATTTCTCATGCAGTAGTATCTCATGGTGGAAGCTTTGTGTAAGTCAAATTTCAGTATCTGGCCAAGGGAACAGATTGCTTGGAGAAGGGAAACAATCTTGACCCTAATACAAAAGGTGCCCAGAGAGCAGGGTGTTTATGATGCCTAGAAAATGCAGTATGTGTTGGCATTATTGTTAGTTCAAAATCTCTAGTCTGGTGTGTGTGATAATCAGGCTGTTTCCTTCAGGCTGATAAATAATTCTGATGAATAAATGTGGGGGGACGGAGGCCTAAAATACTGCTGTTTAAAAAAGGAATTACTATACCGAGTCAAACCAGTCAATGTTTCTGATTGTGACAGGATTTCAGCCAGCTTTGTGAGAACCTTCTCTCTCATCCCAGGGCAGCTTAATTTCTGGAACCATTGCTGATGAGGCTTTTTGAATACCATGTTAAAATCTGAGTGGCTTCACTTTCCCCTATATATTTTCTGTGTGTCCACTTGTTTTTTTACTTGCCTAATCTACTTTGAATGACCACAAATTTGTTGATCTGAGATTTCCTGGACCCCACGAAGAAAAATGTCTGTCTGAAGTGACAGTCTGTGGTCAATTCTAGTTTTAAGCATAGTGTTAAAAGAGTTGAGCACAGGGTTACACAGCACGATTCATATTAAAGGAACACTACAAACTAGAGAGTGAACAAAGTGCTATATCTGAAAATATCTCTGTGCTTTTAACCGAGGTGAAAGGGAGATGTCCCTTCTCTGGAACTAGCTGTCCAAAGTAAAGATTTTACTGTCTACTGAGTGAAGGCTTAGCTGGTGAAAAGGCTTTTCTTAGAGCTTGTGAATATACCACCAGCAAACTCATTTTGTGAGCTGGGTTGGTGATCACAGTGAATGAGGCTACAATTTTTGCCTGCAGTTGATTGGGGAACACTTGCACAGAAAGCTCAGCTGATTGACCCCAAAGGGCAACAACTGAATTGGTGGTAGTGATCTGAGGAACCACTAACCGGATAGCCCCCCCCCCCTTCAGGGGATGCTCACCAGATGGCCTCCATCAAAGGATGGTAACTCCTTTGCAATGGAATGAGAAAGAACAAGACGGGCCATTGATGGTCCATATCAAAGGACAGTAACTCCCTTATGATTGAATGGAAGGAAGACAGGACAGGCCATCTCTGGTATCTCTTGTCCTTGAGATAAGAGAGGAACTAAAACCACTGAGCCATTAGGACAAAGAAGCTGCAAATTAGCCCAGACTTGAAGGACAGGGTGTACATGACTACAGGACTGAGTTTGTGCAGAAGTAAGGGTCAACTAGCAAACACAACGAAGAAGACTAGGAGCCTTCATCTGAAGACCCCTGCCCACGACCACCAGGGAGCACTGCACAAGCACGATGGGAGGAATTTGGGGTGGGGGGGTATGTTAATGATTTCTCAGAACTAATTGTAATATTCCCTCCCTGTCCACAGAGTAGCGATGCATATGTATTAGAATTAGTGAATATGTAACATTTTTAAGCAATAAAAAGGGGCTGTTTTCTGCTCCAAGTGGCACCCACCTGTGGTGGAGTTATCCCCCATGTGCCCAGCGCTGAATAAACATACCTACTTTATAACCTTACTGGTTGTAAAGTTGTGATTCCAGGCCTCAGTAGCATGGAACAGCTGGAACTGATCAGGTTTGAAGGCAGCAAAGCTGGATGCAGAAGATGACATTTTACAGCTTGATTGTTCTAGTTCTAATATGTAATGCCTATTTTTGACTGTACTGTAACTTTCCTTTATTTCAGATGCCTTCAGTGTTTGACAAAGAATCTTTCCAGACATGCTGCAGATATTAAATCATTGCCACCCAACATAAAGGATAAACTGATTAAATTAATGAGTAGGCAAGGGCAAATAACTGATTCAAATATCAGTGAGGTAAGAACTCATTCAAAACTATTCTGTCTGTGATGCTTAATACACAAGGATGAACATGAGACAACAGATAGATCCAGGCCTGCTTACTCTGTCTATGTCTACAGGTTTTTTTCTTAAACTTCATATTGTTAATAGTGCTGTATTAGCAGTAATAAGATTATGCTTGTAGTAACACGTACACTAAAAAAATTCTCCCTTCAGTGATAATTGACCTCTGTGTAATCAGCTGACATATATTACCCCTTTTCAGTGCAGGGAAACTAGATCCTATTGCAAACCAGTCTCTGTTCCTGAATGTAGTATGTTTCAAGAAGCTAGTGCATGATTTAGTAATGAAAAGATTTAAGGAACTTGTTAGGTTTCTTTTATTTTCTGTTGACATGCACATGATCTCCATATAATTTATTTAAATCTTGATTCTTTGAAGTATGATGATAGTAGGGCTAGAAACTGATAGTTCAAATTGTCTCATCCCTTTTGCTCGCTGATGTGTGTCAGTGTTTAAAAACAAAACCAGTTAATTACTTTAGCTGTAAATTCAGAGACACACCTGTTTTGATATCTATCTACTGTTATCTTGTTTTGTCTCAAAGGGAGGCGTGAGAATTGCGGAGAGCTAAAGGCTGGCCTTGGTGCAACAGAAAATTAATGACTCCCTGTTCGTTCTGCTTTGACCTGTAGCTTGGAAGAGACAAATAGTGTCATTTTCTCAGAATCAGAATAGTGAAGCCAAGACTAGAGGCAGAATCAGAAGTACTGGGGAAAACATGAACAAAAAATTCTATCTTTAGTATGCACCACTTTTTGATTGTACAAAGTAAGTCTTTGAGTAAAAATCAGAGTCTTATTTATCTTACTTTGGAAAATTTGAGTTGACAAAATTTGGTTTAGGCTATCTTTTCAGTAAGTAATCCTGTCTAAGCATCCTATGAGACGTATACAATTAAAATCACGTGATTGTGTGTATATAAATGCACAAAACCTTTTAGGATATCTTTAGTCTGGAAATAAACTAGAGAGTTTAAGTTACAATCTTTAACTCTGTCTCTTTGTAAAATCTCATCTGTTGTCTTCATTCAGCAGTTGATCAGTGCCTTCTCTTGAAGCCTGTTTCTGTCTGACACTAGGATATTCTGTTCTGGTTCTTTTTCTCATGTGTTTTTCTTTTCTCTGTTCCTGACACTTCCTGCAATTCTGTCCTGCTGCCATCACTTTTCTTGGGCATGTTATACCTTAGCTTTCTTTGCTGATAGTTTCCAGGTTTATCTCACTTGTATTTTAAAATGCTAGACACCTCTTGGATTCTGAATTCATAGTTTCTCCATACCATTTCACTCTTCAGTTTTCCTGTTCTTTCAGCTTTCAGATATTGTTGTTGATCAGCCTAGCAAAAATAGCTTTTGTTTTTTAGCTCCTCTTATTATTTCTTGCTCACATCATGTATGGCCAAAGTACTCTACATGTGACACATTTACAGTGTCTCTATTAGTCTTCCATATGGATAAGGAATTTTTTTTTCTTTGTTATTGCTTCCATCCTGCCCTTTTCTTTCATAGTCTCCATAGTATTGTGGCTAGATCTATTCTTTTGGAACTTCATAGGCTATGCTATCTCATTTGTTTTTATGCATGTCCTTTCTTTGGTGGTGTTTAAGCATTTTGCTTAAAGTTAATTTTTTTTCTGGTTGAAATTATGTTAACCTGCACTTATGTATAAACCTCTATTTCATCTCTTACTTTCCTGTTCTTGCCCATATTTGTGTTGCTGTGCTTTTTTTTTATTTTTTCCTTACTCTACTTTTTGCTTGGAGCAGCCTTCTATGACATGCATGCTAAACTTCTTATTCCAACTCACTGTGCCATAAAGATCTATAAAGCCGTTCATCATGTGTCCACAGGATATGAATCTGTACTTTAATCTCCTGTCCTCTGCATCCAAACAATCCTCGCTCTATCTAAAATTCCATCTTCTTTCAGAGAGATTAGATTTTAGAATATGTATTCAATGGATACGAATCTGTGAATAACAACAGAAAGCAAACCTCTGAGTATTACCTGAGCATGTGAAGAGTCATGGGCTAGGGAAGCTTAGTACTCTAGCTACTTTAAATAGGCACTATTCTGATATATTGTTGTTTCTCATTTAGACTTCCTTGCATCTCATGGTTCGTTGTCTTGTAAGATTTCTCAGTTGGCTTCAAAACCATCAGTTTGCTCGCTTTTGTTGTGTCCTAGTCAATTTGGAATTGTGAAAGAGAGCCAGCAGTCAGGGAAAGCATCTTGAATAAATGTTGATGGTCACTTTGGCTTTAAGCATGTCATATGTGGGTTTGGCTGTTTTAGTTCCTTAGGTACGAATTCAGAAATATGCATGAAATAAGAGCTGAATGTTACCTTGTGAAAGCTACTCACAAATGTACTGTGAGATATGTTGGTGGCATTATGTCATAGAGAGACATATTTGAGGTTTTTAGCATTTGGGAAGAAAAAGCTGTCAAAGCTGTCCAAGTTGTCCTGAGGTCTGTCATTCATTTTGCAGAAAGGTTGCAATTATAATCTACTAGAAGGTTTTACTTTTTTCCCAAAGTTTGTTTGACTCTGTTGGTAAAGATTTTAGCATTTTATATATTTGCAAAACAGAAAAATGGTATTCCTTGTAATAGCTTTAAAGTACCTGTTAGAATGGTGAGCCTGAGAAAAGGATAGACTTTTAACAAGCCCGTCAGATATGCTGTTATCTTTGCTTGTGTATGGAAATTTACGCTTTTATCCTGGTGAGTTAAGTAAGTGAATCACAAGCTGAAGGGAGTAATACAAGGTAATGTGAAAACCTGATCTAACTCTTGCCTATTATTCTGAAGGACAGCTCAGCAAAGGTATAGCTTGTTTGCACAAGAGAGGGCTATAAACAGTGTTTATTAAAAAGTAGTGAGAATCCTTGAAAATTAAATTAGAGGTAAGATATATGGCTACTGTTACTAAAATCTGAAGCCTTCCTTCCGTTGCTTAGGGTCTAAATTTCATAAATGTACTCTTGGGGAAGATTTCATAAAAACTCCAACCTATGGTCTTGTAGGAGTGAAAGAGCCTGTTTAATGAGGATTTGGTACCTCCTCATGGTATGATAATGAGATTGCTGGTTTATGAGAAGAAAGAGTGTGTGTGTGTAGGTGAGAAAAATACTCCAGGGCAGAATATCTTTCAAATATTACCCTTATCTGTTCAGCAGATTTGAGTTTTGATGATGGTATGTTTTTACACTTCGGATTTCTGCCATCAAAGTTGTGCTACTAAGTTTGAGAGTTTTATCCTTGGTAAATGTATCTGTGCTGGCAGAAGCACTAGTGTTAACAACTGTACAGTCAAAATAGGACTTTCACTGTTTAAATAATGGTGTTAATGTGCACCTACTCTAGATGTCATCACAGAAACTGAACATTCATGCTGTAGGAGATGAACTGTTGCAGCAAATGTACCATACTTTCTTTTTAGTTCCTAGGACTGGTAACGCCATTCTCTAATGAATATTTTTTAAAAGTTCTATGGTGATGTCTAACATTACAAGTATTTTAGAAAAAAACATGCATGTTTTGTGACATAGGAGAGTTTGACTGAAATGATAGGTTTTCTTTACAGGTATTGCACCCTGGTGTAGAGTCTCTAGACCTCCGAGACTGCAATATTTCAGATAATGCACTGTTACAGCTTTATAACTGCAAGCAACTGAAAAAAATCAACTTAAATTCTTGCAAAGAAACCAGACTGGGAATCACTTCCGAAGGTATGTTATCTGTGCACAGATAACTGGGATCTTATTTCTGTTTTATTCTTGTTAGAGTGGAGTAAATTGCAAAAAATATCTAGGGTTAAAATTGTTTATAAAAATCCTCAATTCCACACCAATAGTAATTAAAAGTCATTTCAGTGGTGTAAGTTACAGGCCTAGAGCACTGATTGTCTTCTGAAAGAGAGCTATGAGGTTACTCTCATGGTAGGTTTCTGGTAAAACTATGCTACATTTAATCGTATTTTCCACTTCATCTGAATTATTCCTTCCTCAAAACTTTTTCCAGAGCCTTAACAGTACCATTGGAGTTGAAGGCTTGTGATTTCCTAAATTACTTTTTTCCCCTTTTAAAATTAAATGTATTTGTTATTAAATAAGCTTATAGCATCTTCTCTGACCTAAAAGACTTGCTTTAGGATTTCATGTGTTAATTTTAACCTTCAGTTTCAAATTCTATCAGGAGCTATTAGCTTAAAAGAATTAAGCTTGCTGAGTTTTATTTCACACAAGTTTTGTTTTGTCTTTTGATTACATTTACTCCTTTGCTCCATCATTAATTCATCCTTATTGAAAATTGTGGCAAAATATTAATTCAGTGTTGAACTAATGTATACCATACTTTAGATCAGTCTTGGTTTGTATTTTCTTACCACTGCATAGTGATACTTACCTTTTTACTTAAGTAATTGATTTTATTTATTTTCAAGGTCACCTCATGGTTATACTTTTTGACCCCTAAGTTACAGTTTGCAATGGTCTTCCCTCCCTGCCTTCATCTGTCCACTGATTTCTAGTACAGTTCTTAAGGTACCATCTAAGCCTATAACTCTTTATGTATACTTCATCTATTTGGATAGAGATTCCTGATTGCTTTGCAATTAAAACTGAGAAGTCTAGTCCTTTATTGGCAAGTTCCTAGTCCATCCAACTTTGCTAACTTTCCTACTTACAAACTGAGTCCTTTTTAAACTGCTAATCAGTTACGGAGCCTTTGATTTAAGTTGGAACAGTTCTTTATCACTCATCTCAATTACATACAGAAAAAAAAGACGCCAAACCACTCCATTTTAAAGCAGTGTTACCTTTTACTACTTCATTAACAGGTGGGGGTTTTTTGATTGGTTTATTTGGGTGGCGGGATGTTTTTTGGTTTTTTTGAGAGGTGTTTTTAAGGAACCTGCTGGCTACAATATCCAGAACTACCGGAGCCTTGTCATTCCTAGTAAACATTTGGTCAGTGATTCTGACCCAAACAAGTACTATTTATCCATGTTTCTTTGAAGGTCTTACATAGTAAGACATTCAGCTTTTTATTTCTATCTATCCAGAAGTGATGTAATTTTCTGTACCACTCTGATGATCATATTTCCATCATCCTTGAAATAAACTTCTTTCATGAATGGCATCAGTAGTTCATGTACCTTTATTTTCTTGACTACCTCCTGACACTTCTGTGCAAATATTTTGGTTATTAGTAACTGTGAGGGCTCTGAGGGCACCCCCAGACCTTAATGGCTGTGACCGGCCTCACCTCTACCAGCTGCCCATGGACCTTCAGTTGTGAGCTGAGCTGTGTCATAGATGTACCTGGTTCCTCTCCTGCTTTGGAACTACTGTTTTGATTTCTTGAATTGACCTCAGACATGACCTCTTACCTTGCTTTTGGCCTGATACTCACTGCACTGTCAGTGGGAACCAGCACTATTGTCAGTCTGCTTTCAAACCATTGATATTTTTTAATGAACTCGCTGAGGTGATAATTCATGTATATACTATCCCTCAGGTATCCCTCTGCAGTATGGAGGAGAATTCAGCATTTAGAAATTTTTATAAACTCTAACATTGTTCACTGTCATTTTCTTTTTCTCATCCTTAAATTAAAAGAAACCAACCACAGAAGTATTTCCTTGTACAGTCTTGCTGCCATGGCATGAGATGCAAGTTGAACAGTCAATGACTAGGGGACAGCATATTGGGTTCAGCATGGTACTTATGTTAAAAAATGAATAATTCTTTAAATTGCTCTGTTTCTTTGACAGGTGTCATAGCACTGGCCTTATCCTGTCCTTACTTGCGTGAAGCATCTTTTAAAAGGTGCTGTGATATAACTGACAGTGGAGTTCTCGCTCTTGCGCTCAACTGCCAGTTCCTACAAATTGTGAACTTGGGCAGCTGTTCAGGCATCATGGATGCATCTCTACAGGCACTAGGAGAAAACTGCAAATTTCTTCACAGTGTGGACTTTTCATCTACTCAGGTAACCGTGGTGGCAATTGGCTAATTGATTTTTGTTTATTTTTTAAGATTGTAAATTGAAAGGCGATTTTTTTAGCTTTACTTTTGACAAGATTTAGGACCACAGTTCACTTCCAATTTGCTCCTCCCAAGGAAAAGGGAAGATATATTTTGCATTTTAGTAACCAGAAAAATACACGTTTTGGTATTACAGCATGTATCGTGAACCAAAGGTAACCTTTTATTAGAATCTACCTAATATTGGAGATTTTTTTTCAGTATCTTTAGTGCAATAATTTTCTTCAAGTTGTAAAGTAATAAAAAATTTTTCATTTAAAGAAAGTAGAATCCTGGACAGATTATTGTCTGCTTTCAGTTAGAACAAACTGGGCTGAACAATAATAATATATGATGTCAAACAATATAAGCCCCTAGTAGAGGTAAACGCTACATAATTAGTTCTAGTTCAAGAGTGACTGTACTTTCTGAATGGCTTGTCAGAGTTATGTTATGGAGTCAACATGGAAGGAATGATCTTTAAAATGTCAGAAAGTGCAGGTAAGAGGATTTAACAACAGTTAGTGTTTAGCCTGAGAAGGGGGAAGTCAGCTGCAACAGCACTACTGTAACATACTTAATAATTACAGTAAGATAATGCAGTGAGGGAAGGGATTTTTTTGCAGTAACTGTAGCTTTCAGTTGACTGTGATGGTGAGTGATTGTTGAATGTAAGTCAAGCACAGAGCATTCGTAATGAACTGTCAAATCTGGAAAACACATAGCAAGTTCTTATTTTAGATGCTGTTCTTATTTCAGTTTTTCCAGAAGTAGGGCATCAGAAGTAATTTTAATCTTTTCCTTGGTAATTTTTATTATCATCACTTAACTATTTCTTCAAACTTATTTCATTACTTTTTATTCCCTTGCCTCTCTCTTCCTTTGTAGGAAATAGCTAAGTTTCCCTGTATATGTTTTAAATGAGATGAAAGCTTCTTGAGTAACTAAACATTTCCACATTTCTTTATTCATTTCTGATAATCATATGGTGATAATACACTGGAATTCTGAATTTCAGTTGACTAAAAATAAATGGAAACATATACTAGATATAAACTAAGTAAGTTTAAGACGAAGCAGAGAAACTATGGATGGCTCATGGCTGTAGAGATTGTAGGGCCTAACCATATTACTGTGTTTGAGCTTCAGAATGCATAGTAAAAATATCAGGTGGAACTGATAAAGCTGTGTAGAAGAGTAAACAGTGAGAACATTGGAAATAAATGAATAGGCAAAGGGCACAGCGCGTTTGCAGGAACAAGGAATCGGATGTGGCCAAACGCCTCAAGGTGGTGTAGCCATTTTAAAAATAGGCTCATCCAGTGACTCAGGGGATGAAGTACAATAAATAGAAGGTGTAGAAGTGGTGCAAAGTAACAAGAAATGGGGCAGGTGAGGGCAGGGAAGGATTGAACTAAGAAGGAGCTATACCTCTGTGTCCCCTTTATGCACACAGTGCAAGTGGAAGCTTGGCCTGAAGAACAGGACCACATAAAGAAACCTGTTTCTGTTTAGTTATCAATATGTGTATGTTGCCATTCTGAGGAGGTAGGTTTTATACATAAGCCCTGTACTTACTGCTCAACTTCCAGTGTGCTCTAAACCCCAGCAGTGTTAACAGGTAGAAACACGGGCTAAAGAGTCCAAATCCTTGCACTAATTAAACAGTACTTTTCCTCTTTAATGTTCATTGACTTGGTGTACGGCAAATAATCATGGGAAGAATCTTGCCTGAAAGGGCTGTGCAGACTGCAATAATTTTCTGTGTAGAGTGCGGGACAGTTTAGTTCTCTGAAAAATGTGTTGGCAGAAGCAGGAGTGTTGCAGGTTAGCTGTTGTATCTGTCCAGACACTTCTCATGTAGGACAAACCTGAGGTGCTTGATGTACTTAATTGCTGGTACTGGGCTATGTAAGCCTTTGCTAGAGATGCTCACAGAGTTTGGTGACAACTGGTCTGTACCAAGCAGCTGATGTATTTGTGGCTGGGTACTAACTGCAGGTGGTTTATCCCCAATATAAGAGTGTGTCCCTTGATGAGGATGGGCAGATGTGGCATCACAGGCAATGCACACAGATATTCAATAGAGTAGGAAACAATACTGCAACGCTATAATATAATACTATAATACTATAGCGGTGGTTACTGTGAACTTATACAGAGAAGTGGGGGGACTCTGTTTTAAGATAGAACTGATTTCATGCTCTCATGCTGTCATAATCATACACCAGGAAGGCAGTCTGGTCCAGGTGTGTATTTATGCCATGGAGGGTAAGGGACACAGGCTATCAAATCTTCATCACTTTACTCGGGTTGGTCTAAGGTTGGTGATCATACACTGGTTTTGGATGTGCTGGTTTATACCGTTTAGGAACTGACAGTGATTACTCTCTCCATTCTGTCCCACCTATGTGAGTTATTAGAATTTATTCATTTACTGCCCTTTGTCACCTGGTCTGGTTGTCTTGCAGAGCTAAATGTGCTGTCATCTTGGTGACCTGCTAAGCTAGGTACTGACAATACCTGCCATTCTTACAGGCCTTTATGTGTCTCCATGCTGGGACGTTCCTGTCCATTCTTCATTCACACTGATCTGACCCTTTCTATTACAGTTCTGTACACTAGACTTGCAGTGGGGGGGCCAGAAGGCAGTAAGACAATATGTGCAATGGGAAGAATCAAATCTTTAAACAGAAATGGAGCTTGTGGTCTCTGGATTCTAGCTGTCAAATCTGGCTAAGCCTTACTGTGTATATTTGATGACTAATATTCCTGCCATTTAATACAAGCTCTGTTGAAAAAAGTGTGATGGGTCTAATATCCAGTTCAGCTTATGAAGCGAGGAGGAAGTTTAATGAATTTGATTCCTGGAAACAAACAAATAAATTGGCCTTTCTTGCCTTTCTAAGGTAAGGAGTGTCTTTTGTTTCTCTCCTCTCTCTTCCAGGTAATCATTGCTTTGTGGCTGTCTGTAGCAAATCACTTCGATAAATATTTCAGTGTGAGTGTATGATGACTGATGTAAGACTGCTTGTTTGAGGGATTTTTGTCTTATGTAACTGGTTTGCTTCAAAATAAGTGAAAGTAAGAGAGCAGATAAAAGACTGCTATGATTACTTTTTTTTTTCTTCACAATCCAAGAAACTTCCTTCAGGAATATCTCCAGCAGTCCTGAAAACAGAGGAAAAATTGGTCTAGGTAGAGCAGAAGTGCTTTAAACCTTGACCGTAGTAGGATACCCACCATTAAATGAGGCAAGGGAGCTGCAGAAATAGCAGTTACACACGGTTGGAAACACTTGGGTAGAAAGCCAGGCTGGATCACACAGTAGTAAAATGCAACAGTGTTTATTAGACTGATAAAAACATACATGGATAATTTTCTCTACAAGCTTAGCTGGGGAAGAAAATACTGTAATATTAAATTTATTCAGTGACTACAGGGAGTGAATAAATTAATATATTTTTTTTCTCCTCCAAATAGCTGTGTTTGAAAAGAGCATTAATCCGTTGTGTTGAAAACAGTATGTTTTTTTCTCTAGGTAACAGATGATGGCGTTGTAGCACTAGTGAGTGGAACATGTTCAAAGAATTTAAAGGTAACTTACTTAACCTAATAAGAAAGAAATGAACAAAAGCAAATACCGGCAATTTTAAATTATTATTATCAGTATTACTTCTGAGGGATGGTTTTTATTGACTGACCTTTGTCTTTGTTTGTGTACACACTTGCTCTGATTTTGGTTATGAATTTAATATTTTCTGTCTCTCTGCAGCAGTATCCCTGACCAGCTTTTTGAGAACCTCAGTCTTTTCAAAATGAGTTTTACTCTGTTGAATGTAGTATGCTTATTTTAACTCATGTTGCTTTGGAGAGATGTATAATAAATGCAAATGAATGCTTAACTTTTTCCCTTGATTTCTTTGGAGTTATTTCTTGATTCCATTGATCACTGAGGCAGAATTTTTAATGTGAGTAATTTCATGGATTTAAGAAACCAGTTAGCATCTCTAAATAGGTAAATATCTAACTCATGAAAGCAACTGTAAATATTAGGTTGTCTTTGCATAAAGACTCTGTAGGCACTGAGACAGTGATAAAATGATGGAGAAGAGGCATCTCATACCTCTTACCATAAACGATCATCTACTTGTCTATATCATACCTTTTCTATCTCTTTGTGTATTTTTGTTTTCGTAAAGGCTGGTTCTGAATCCAAGCCGTTCATCTAGAAACTGAGATGGGAAACAAGTCATACTTTTGGTAGTTTCTAGTTTTTAATTAAAAAAAAAAAAAAAAAAAAAAAAACCAAACAAAACCCTAAGCAAAATACCAAGTCTGGGTCAGCTGACAGTATTAATAACCTAGAAAAAACAGAAGGGTGAGCAGTTAGATTTGGTTTTGTGTTTTTCCAGCTGATTCTGTCTATTCTGCCAATTGATGGGATCAACACAAAGGACACAGACACCAAGTTAAGGACATAGGCTTACTTTACTTTAGTTTATAGCAGCAGAAAGGATAAACAAGGTAGTGTACCTGATCATTACTACATAAAGTTAACTATAGTGATTAAGAAAGATCCATCACCAATTGCCCTCCTACTTTACCCTCATCCAGACCCGTGCATCAGCTGGGGAGCCCCGTCACAGCGAAGGGTCGCAGAGCCTTTCCCGGCAATTGGGAAGTCCCACGCAGGGCGTCCGCTCGTAGGTGAGGTCTCTGTCTTCGCTGTGAGAGGGTCCGGCTTTTATACAGATTAAATCTATATGACAAAATGCACAGGAGACATCTGGTGGCTTGGCTCACCTCACTCAGGCGCGTCCAGATCTGGCCAGGATCCAGGCATGTCCGAGGAGTTCCTGCTTTCCTCCCTAATTCCTGGCTTGTGTATTCGGCCTTGATAGCATGTTTCTAAACTAGGAAAGGTCAATATATTCTCATATCATTTTATCTAGGATACCTATCTTGCTAATGAGATATTTCATCCAAGCTACATATTTCACTAATGACCAGAGATATTTTGCTAATGATTGGATACCTGTTATTTATAGTTTTCAGGGCTTGTTCCCATGGGCATATTTCATGCTGATATGATGCTGGTCGGGAGGTTCACTCAGAAGTCAACTTCAGTTCAAGGCGTATGAGTTAGGCCTTTTTATTTCATCAATTTTGGACAGTCTTTTTAGTCATGATAAGTCTTGTGGTACAAGACAAATTATTATTTTTTTCGGACCATAGCAATGAGAGATCTTTTTGTATACTAGAAGTGACTTGAAAATATCTTTGTATTTTGGCTGGTTATACCTTTAGCTGTAGCAAAGCAATGATTACAGATTTGATAAACAACCTTGAGACCATGCAGATGGTCTTCATAATACACCTCTCATATCCAGCCCACAAATGTGAAGCAGTGTGTTTCACTGTGATCTGGATTGGGTCATTCAGACTAGGTTACTCTCAGAAGTCTTCAGTACATATGTTTTAAATCACGAATACTGTGACAAGATTTCATAAGTTTATTGTAGTAAGTTTTGGGTTTGCTATTGAGTAGAGTGGGGTTCTGTAAAGTTCCTAGAGGGTTTCTAGCGGGTCTTGAACTATTTTCCAGCAATGTTGATATAATTACTCTGTCAGTATTATCTTTCCCCTTCTGTGTTACTACTGCTTACAGTTCATAGAGAGCTATATTCTCGTATGTAAGCCCATTTCCTTCAAACCATAGCAATGCAGTTCCATTTATTTTTAATAAATTTCCAGCTTACAAAATGCGGCTTTTGGTGTTTCCAGGTCACACTGCTGTAGTTACTGTTTCTCTGAAAGTGCACAGGCTTTCTTTTGTGTGTGCTGCATATGGACACCTGTGGCAGCTGTACTAGATCAGGAAGAACAAGGTAGATAGCTTACATAAGATCTGCTTCATCTATAAGAGTTCAAGAAAGTAACCCTGAGGTACTGGGCTTTGATTTTGGAGGAACTAATGGGAAATTTCAGTCATGCCAGACTGAATAGTGGTATGGATTTTGCTTGTTTGTTTTCCTGCACTAAATACTTGTTTCTAGTTTCTTAAAAGCCAGGTACTTAAGTACATTTATATTTGTTTTTTTAAGTGGTGGGGGTTTTTTGGTGGTGGTTTTTTTTTTTTTTTTTGGATGTGAGGAGGGCAGTCTATGCAGTTTTAATAAGGCAAAATTTAATGGTTTGTGTGGAATGACAATTTTAAAAAACAAATGTTGTGTCCTATCAGTATAAACAGAATGGTTTAGGTCTCTTGGTTTACAAGCAGTAAGAAAAAGAAATGTAGCAGAGAATATGGAATTACTTGCTACAATCTCTTCTTCAATGTAACTCTTTCCCTTGTCTGTGTCACAGTCCTCATACCTCTGTTTCATATCATCAAAGTGCAAATTTGTAGACAGTAATCCAGTGTCAGGTACATGGTGAAAAAAGTAGGTTCTTCAATTTCTCCAACTGTAACTAGCAGGCAGATTTATAAATCTTTTTACTTCATTCAGAGCCATTCAGATTCCACATTTCACTTATGAACTAAAAGCTGTACGTGTAACAGCTTTTGTGTATCTTGCTTCTCTGAATACAGTTCTTGTTTTCTGTGTCATCATTCTGTACAAAGTTGCATTTATTACAAAAGGTCCTTGGAGTTTATCATGTGGAAAGATGCTCTTTCACAATAAAACAATAGGGGTTTTTCATTTTTACCCAAGGATCCTCAAAGTATATTTTTCCAAATCCTGTTTTCATTAGATTTGATAGTCTCTTTTCTGTATTTCTTCTTGTAGGTTATGTTTATTAATATGTAAAGCACTTTAAAGGGGAAAAAAATGTTGGTAATAATCTGTTAATTTATTCTGAGTTTATTTTTTCACTAATACATGCAACAGCTACTAGTTTTACAGCTACACAGAAATGAAGAAAGCAGGTTTTAGTCTAGTCTTGGAAGAAGTTCTTGGACTTCTTTTAGGAACTATGTAGACATGTAGATAGATATTAGGAACTTCAGCAGAGACTCATGTATCCTGCCTGTTTTGGGAAACCCCAGAATTCAGTTTGGTTTCTGTTTTCCTGGACAACAAATTGCTAGGAGAATGTGTGTCATAGGAAAACTGATGGGTCTCATACAGCATAGAATCTCATTGAAGAGTTTTCTCGGTTGTCTTGGATGATATATGTATTTGGGGAAAGCTCAGTTTTATGTTTTTAGTTTTGGCACTTCATAGAAAAGCTGTCTTATTTTCCTGAGGATATTTTTCTGGTCTGTGCAGGACCACATCTGGGGTCAATGCATGGAGGAGTACTAGATCATAATTTCTTCTGGGTGAGGATGTCTGAAAATGGTTGGGCAAATGAAAGCTCTGCCTCCAAAACTATGGGTGCTCTGACAAGCTTTTGTTACTACTATTTTCGTAACAGGAGATCCACATGGAGCGCTGTGTGAACCTGACTGATGTTGCTGTGGAAGCAGTCCTTACTTGCTGTCCGAAGATACACATTTTTCTGTTCCATGGTTGCCCACTGATAACAGGTAGGTCAAATCATGAAGGGAGTAAGAGTAATTACTTCCTGATAGTGTCATCTCGCTCTCTGGAAAAGCACATTGTACTTTGTAAATAATCCCAAACAAATAATAGCTTGCTAGATAAAATTATAATCATACACTGAGATTTTTCGAAGCAAGGTGAGAGTTTTGCTTTGAAACATGGCATCCTTCAGAGAGGGATTTTTTTTTTCTTGCCTTTTTTTTTCCCATCAGTATGCTGATGAAGACCCAGAGTTGATGATAAGACTTCAGAAAGCTACGTTAGCATATTAAACCCCTACTCTATTCCAAAAGTATGAAACAGCATCCATTCAAGAAACAATGGAATGGAGTAGGACTGGTCAGCCTCGGGGGGGAAAAAAAAAAAAAAACAAAAAAAAAAAACAAAACTGAAGAGATGTTACGATTTATCTTGGGTTTTTAAAGTTCTGTTGGTTGGTGATGCTTTACAGTTATGTGATTGAAGAAAGAACTGAGTGGTTTTTAATTACTACAGGTATATCTGAAATGTGATATTGTAATAGCAAGCTAAGCATAAATGCAGATACGTAATTGAATAATTTTGCCATTTACCTAATTTCTAAACACCACCTATATATATTCTGAATGAATAACAAGATATTCCTTGGTTCTTTTGCAGATCGTTCCCGAGATGTTTTAGAGCAGCTAGTCATATCAAACAAAATCAAGCAAGTAACATGGACTGTTTATTGATTATTTATTGTGTACGTATGAGTGTAAAGTTTACAGATGGGAGAGTTCTTTCAGAAGACAAGCACCTTGGAGAAATAGCTGGTGACTTTTGTACCACCAGATTGCTTCCCTCCTTGTTCCCACCAGAGGTCTCTGTCGCCATTCCAGTCCTTGCCTGTGAGTCTGGGTTTCCCCACTGTCTCTACTTCAAGCCCTGTCTTTGCATGGCTGATCATACTTCATTAAGAGGAGTGTTAAACTGTAATTAATATTACACTGTCATCGCTCAGCCACCTTGAAGTATTAGATTTGGCTACTACTTAGCATCTTTTAGCATCTTAAATACATACACTAACCAAATTTAAGTAAGTCTGTGTTCTGAGTTTGTAGCTTGAGAAGGTAGTTGCAACTAAAAGTACCAAGCCCAAACATAGTATTAACACTTAAGCAAAAGTTTCTGTAAAGTTGGGGATTTAATCTGACAAAAGTCAGCAGATAGAACCGGTGAATGGAGTGGCATTAACAGCAATGCGAATGTATTTTAAGTAGTAACAAAACAATGTGTTTTCACCATGTACTTCTGCTAGGTCTGGAAGAAAACTGTAGGTACCTTTCTGCTGATGTTACTGATGCTGCAGGTTTCTGGTTTTACTTACCATCAAATATTTGTTGAATTTTTATACATCCCAAACAACAGCCTGTGAACACGTAAACATAAACTTGCTTTGAAATCGGTGTGGTAACTTAAAAAATTTCAGGATGGTAGCAATGACCGATAAAAGAATCTTGTATAGGGAAAAATTCTTATTTGCTCTAGCTTTTGCCTCTGTTTCTGCATGAAAATCCTTTTAGGGAACAACATTAGTCCTCAGAAGCACAGCTGTGAGTAAAATAGGACCAAATTTAGTGTCTGAGTACATGAATTTCAGGATGATAGAGTTCAGCAGAATGTGTTGTGCTGTATGCAGTTTATTACATGTCCAGTGGCCTCCAGAAGCTGAAAATAGCTACCATTTATGTATTGTTCAATTGTAGTCATGTTAAAGAAAAAGAAAAATAATTTAGAAGTATAGAATTAGTTTATTACATGATGGAGCCGTGGCCTCATCATAATTGTAAGTCATGTTCATTGGCTTTCTTGAAACAGCATAACCTCTTGTGATGGTTCTGTGATTTCTACATTAAACTTTTTAAAATGCTAGCAGTTTTGTCATTATATAGGGCAGGTGGCACACCGTGTTGATACTCTGCATCTGGAAGTAGCAGGGTTTATCTGGGGTGGTCTTAATGGATCTGGTGACACTTAGAAACCCATGAGTTTAGGCAACCATAAGGAATGTGTTTATTTTACAATTTAACACTTGTCATAGCCACGTTCATTTGAAGTGTTGCAGAAATAAACCAGTCTTCTACTCAGCTGTTTAAAGTTCCAAGTCAGATTGCATGGAAGGTAATATATGTTGCATCCAGTAATATTAAGGGATATTACGATGTCTAACAGTCATGTCTGTTCTTCTGTGATTGTAGGGTTTATGGAAGAGCAAGTCCATTTAGAAATCTTGTTCAAGTGTAACTGAAAGCATAGTTTTCAAACTCCTGTGCCTAAATCCCTAATTCTTGTTGCATGCAGTACCATGGCTCAGACCAGTGATGAAGTGATGAATGTGTTCCTATGATACCTATAGGTATAGCTGCACCAGTACAAACCATTCCTGCAAGCAGGAGAGGTTGGGTTTGCTACATTAGCCACTAGCATCTGAAGGCTGTAATTGCAGCAAATCCTTGGACCGGATAGAGGCCCGAGAACCTAGTCTGCCATGGTTTATTCCCTTTTTTTTGCTAAACAGTTTATTGTTTTGTTCTGTGGAATCCCTGGTATCAATCAGGGCCCATCATTCCTTTGACGTTATTGGCAGCGTATCTTGGATGCGATTAGGCAGCAGCAATGACACCTCATTAATTGTGTCAAGTAAGTAAAGCATAAGGATCAGGCTGCCAGCTCTGGTTTCAGGAAGGGTGCCACAAGAAGGTAGAATTGTAAGTTACCCCAAGTGGGAAGGGGCCTCGGGAGGTTTCTGGTCTTAACTTCCTGCCCAAAATGGGGTCAGCTGAGACCAGCTTAGTCAGGGCTTTTTCCAGCCAAGTCTTGAAAACTGAAGATGACAACACCTTCACAACGTTTTGAGGCAACTTGTTCCACTGCTTGACTGTATTAATGGTAGAAAAACTTTTCCTCCTATCCTGTTCGACCCTGTTTTGTTTCAGTTTAAACCGTTTCTCGCTGGAAGAGCCCAGCTGTCATCCATATGTCCCTTGAAGCCTTCTCTGTTCCAGGCTGAACAAGCCCAGTTCCCTCAGTTTGTTATTGTAAGACATTTAACTATAACTTAGTGTGGTGATGGTCACCAGACTCTCATCTGAAGTGCTACATCCAGAAAGAAAATTATAAATTAAGATTATACAAAGCAACTAAAGGTGGAAGACCACCAAAATCTGTAACGGCAAAGGACGCTTAAAAAAAATTAATCTGTGGGACAGTGCTACTGCTAACCTTGCTGGCAAGGTTGTCCTTTTTCCTCTTGCTAATGTAACCTTGGATTTGTCATGAAGGCAAAGGCAGCTTACACTGTGTCCTTAAATGTGCATGTGTATTTACTGTCTTCTATAGCCTCTTCTAAATGTGTAACTTAGTGGTCTATCCTTACCTTGTGCTTAAAACTCTGTGTAACGCTGCAATGAATTAATAACGTATTTTCAGGTTTGGAAGTTTACTGTAAGTCACATTAAGTCCTTCACTGTCAGAGCTTGAGTCTTACTAGCGTAACTACTGGAATATTTTTTGATTCAGGTTAGATCGCAGTCATTTTCAACAAATGTTTACAAGCACTGGGTGAAGTGGGAGAAGAACATCATGTATATACTTAACTGCTTCATAATCTGTATTGCTTGGATATTGTTATTGTTGTAAATTGTTGGGTGAGCATTGCAGAATATTTACATTTTGTTCTGAAGATTAAAGTTTGTAAGCCTTCTGGTTGGATAGTTCTGAAAAATTGTTAAATTATATTTTATGATATGAAATACATGTGCAGCTGAATGTGCTCTTAAAACTCCCATTTAATAAACACCATGGTTTTCTGAGTACCACATACTTTTTCACATTTATAAGCTTCCACACATCACCTGGTATTTGGCAGGTGCATTAGGTTCCATTCTGTAGTTTTTAGTTCCCCATTGCTGCTTGTTCAACAGTTAACTGCTAACAGTGACAGTCCCTGCAAGACTATTCTGAAAATGTTAGTTTCTTCTTCAAATGATTACTGCATTTACAACCTCTTACCTCTGCATCAAATTTTCGTTGTGTTTTTTTTTTTTTTAACCCCACAGACAGTTCTTCCTTGACAGATGTAGCTGAGAATGATTCTAGAGCTTGTTATCCAGCACGTCCTCAAGAGAAAAAAAAAAACAATTATATCCAGCTTTTATTCCCTGTTTCTAGTTAGTTACCTTCTGTTCAGAAACATCACAGAAGGAAAGATTTCTTCATCCCTCACAAGCCTCCCATGGTGACAGATTGCCTTTTTTACCCCTGCAAAGTTAGAGAATGTAGAGCACTTGACCTTACTCTCTCAGGAATAAAGTTACCCTATTGCTATTACTATTTGGTCTCTTTCCACTTACTAAAAACTTTTACTTTGGCTAGAGTTCAAGAAGCCATATTTTAGATTTTTGTACAACTCCTAAATAATCACTGGCAGCTTCAAGGAAGAGTAAATTTTTATTATAGAGAGGAAGGGGGAGATTTAAATTAGTTACTTTGACATTCAGAAGAGAGATCCAGAAAAAGAGCAAGGCACTTCAAGTTGAGCATAGTGTGAGCTGATAATCTAGCAGAGTTTTATGAAGGACAGCAATAATTTTCTATGTAAATAAGCTGCAGAAGTCTGAAAGCAATGCAGTAATCTTCAAGCCACTGCCTTCTCCCCGCAGCAGTATGTTGGATGTCCAAAACCATTTCACAATAGTGTCAGAGAGCAAGACGTGAATATACATGAAAAACATCAAGCATGCAAACTCTCACATGTGACTTGTCTTTGGATTTGCACTGCAGTGCAGGCCCCTTTGAATACAGTTTGCATGTAGTTTTTACCTCAGATGGAGCAAAAGCCTCACTGAGTATGACTGAAATCAATACTGTGAAGGTACACTAATCTACTTTGCAGCAAGAGATATGTTCTGTGTTTAATTCCTGTTTTCATTTTACATACATACTTACAAAAGCAGCCAACCAAGCGAGACAAAAATTCATTGGAAAGCCAGCTTCAACAGTTTTCCAAGCTACTTGAGGGCTGATAACTCCAGACAATACTTGATGTTAATCCATTGTTTTCTTGTCTAGTATACTCAGGAAGTGAATATTCTATAACTTTGTGCAACTGACTGCGAATGCTGTGGCTTAAAAACTGATGCCTGCCGGGGTCACCAATCAGCACTTCAGTTTGCTGTATCCTGATGCATTTCCTCAGCCAGTGATGTAGACCATCAGCAAGTTGTTCATCATAAAACATATCTCCTAGAACAATAAGGTCCCAGTTGCCACCCTCTGAATTAATGATGTTCTTAATGGTGATGGGGAAGGGATTCAGGTGGTTCAGTTCACAGTTCAAGATCATTGCCGTTCCTGCAACTGAAGAATAGTCAAAGTAAAATGAAAGTTACGTTTTAGGATTCTGCCATTCAGCCCCCTTATAAATTCCCTTGACACATTCAATTTCATCTCTTAAATATTTTTGCTTATACTATCTAGGGACTTCCATGGTTTTCATTATGGGTCAAAACCTGGCATAAAGTGATGGAATTTCATCCTCATTGTACCATGACACAGGAAAAAACTGTTCCTGGAATGGATACCAATGGAAACCAATCAGAGAGTCAAACCAGAATATTCAACTACTTTAATCTATGGATATACTTCCTAACCAATGAGAAATTATTAATAAACTGAATTCATAAGTCAATTATGGGAAAACAAAGTCTGGGGGGAAAAGGCAAAACCTAGGCCCCAACATATGAAAGTGCAAGAAAACGCTATGGTCCTACAGAGAAGAACTTGTCATCGTTGCTGTATGTTCATTCTGGGGAGCTATGGAGATCATCTCAGGGCAGGAGAGGATGGTACAACCCTGCTTCTAATACTGGCAAAAACCATTCCTCTTTTTAGCATTCTTAGAACTCTGTTTGGAACCTGAATTGCTTCCAGATGGAGCAAAGAAAAGTCAGTGTTGAATGTGCTTTAAAAATAATATCTTTGCACGGAGATGACAAAAAAAAGGCCTTACTAGGGTCGATGTCATTAGCAAGGACTTGTGATGCACCGCTCATCACAGCAGCTATTGCTGTTGCTCCACATCCACTTCCAAGATCCAAAACCGATCGTCCTTTAACAACACGTGGATTATCTAAAATATACCTGAAAAGAAAAACTGTTAAAGCAATGAACAAGATTATGCACATTTCTCAGTTTTGCATTACACTGCATAAGAGTTCTTGTTGTACGTGCAATGAAGCATGGTCTTAAAAACACTATTCCATGTGTGCAGCTGGTACATATCTCCTTATGTTTGTGCTGATACAAAAATCAAGAACTACAGTCTTTCTTACTTCTCCCCTACCCCCAAACAAAAAGAAATCCAGCCAAGTATGCAACATTTTATTTCAGTTGGCTCCTTCCCTGACAGGTGAGCTTACCTAATAAATGGACACAAAACTGCAAGGTGAATAAAATGCTTGGCACTAGAAACAGGAAAGTAAGGATTTGCAGAAATTAAAAGTAATCTGACTCAAGAAACATGAAGATGTATTCACAGTGAATATTGCTCTCATCGAAAGACAAGGCCTACCCATTGCCCTAAAATACTGCTTATGCAACTGCTTGGAAGAAGAGGAATTTCTCCTCTTCCTTTTCCTGAGCTGTGCAGACACAGATACATGTTGTCTTCAGGCACGAGGGTGATGGCTGCCTCTTCACGCAGGGCTACTGGCAAGCACAGCTTTTGCGGGTGGGTTCCAAGGCAGAGAACTGTAATGGAAATGTAAGATTGGCATAAAGAGCAAATGGATGGATGGGAGTGTCTGGGCCTAGAAGCAGCAGCAGGAATGGCAGAAGGAGGCCTAATATGAGTGTCAAGTGCTGATGGCACCTAGATCCCAGCACATCTATATGCAGATTCTCAGGCGCCCAGACTGGGAGAACAAAATACAACCTACCCTCAAACCTCAACAGTTCAAGCCATTAAGAGATGACAGCAGGAAGGTCGAGACCAGGACTGAAGGTACAGAATACCCAGATCAGAAACCCAGGAGACATGAGGAGGGCCTGACATCCCATGCCTATTGTCCTACACATCATCACAAGGAATCCTACCAGACAGCTTGGACATGCACAGCTTGGCGCTTTTGAGCAGGTGGTCATGAATCCAGAGAGTGAAACTGGCTCACTTTTCATGAAAAATCACTTTCTCCTGTGAGGTCTGGCACCTAGATCTGTTACATTGTTACCACAACGTTGCAGCATTATTTGTTTCAAGAGACCTACAGATGCTCTCTTTTCTGAGGGCACCCAGGCAGGACCTTGGTGCAGAGGCTCAGCAACTCGGCTGTTTGGCAACTCCCCCGGGGGCCATCCAGGCCCTTAGTTTGCCAACAGCTGGGAGGACAGTGCTGGCACCTCCACACAAAGTTCTCCTTTTCCCCTTTCTAGGGGCTACGCTTGGATTTGCAGTGCCTTTCCAGCAGTAACTCGCGTAGAGCCCGATCTGGCCTAAGGCTGCAGGTGCCTTGTTGCCACCTGAGTGGTTCTCAAGTTACCGCTAATGACTGTGGTGCCTTCGGACAGCTGGAACCCACTGTGTCCCCTGGCACGGCCACAGCACGTTATGCTGCTGTTGGAGGCTGCTCTCTGCCATGCTGGGGTGATGAGGTGTCTTAGGTTACACCAAGAGGAATAACTTGAAAGAGGAGACTCCTGATCTTGTGGAAATGCCAACTGTGAAACAAAGCACAGTTACGGAAGCAGCATGTTTTCATGCTCCCTTTTTCTTTTTACTTTTCCAGATTATGCAGCTAATTTCTGATATTCCCAATACATCAAAAAAGTGCATCAACAATAAGTCAATAAAGTGGTGAAATGCCAGATTATTACTGCTACCCAAATATCTTGGCATATGAATCATATGATAACAAAATGTAGAAATTACTGTACTAATTTAATCACACAATGTTTAGGAACACTGTAGTCCATCTAAATGGCAGGCTCATCAGCTCACAATTTTACTGTAAGACTCATCTTTTTCCTGGTCCAAAATGCCTTCCTATTTATGCTTTCTTGTAGATAAACAGCAAAGCCCCATTTCCGACACTTTCCCTTCATCTATGTGGGGAATGTCTGACAGATTGTTCTTTGCGGTAACAATTATGAACTTTTTCTGCTGTTCCAAGTGAGAGATCTGATTCTACAGAATAAAAGAACTCTTAACTAGTTCCTGGGAATCAGGAACATTTTGACAGTAAGCAACCAAAATCAAAACGTGGCTTCTGATGTGACTAAAAAGACAGCCACAATAAGGCTTGAAAATAAGATTGCTGAAATCCCTAAATGAGGAGAGTGATTCAGGCTAACCAGCACTCCAAGTGCATCAGCATAAACCTACTTTTTTCAACAGACCAGACCCACATCCACACTCCTGTCTGTCTCCTACAAAAGAAAAAAACAACCCATGTTTTATAACAAAATAGAAATCCTCCAGTTTGGAGTGACGTTGAGTGACAAACACCTCACTAGGTTTTGATGGCAACTGCCCAGCCCTTCCACAAATCCAAATTCAGCCCCATTATCAACACATGCATTGCCACTGAAGACAACAGATTTCAGTTTAAGAGCCTGTCCTGATTTTGGCTGGAATAAATTTTCTTCCTAGTAGCTGGTACAGTGTTGTGTTTTGGATTTAGTGTGAGAATCATGTTGATAACACACTGATGTTTTAGTTGTTGCTGAGTAGTGCTTACTCTAAGTCAAGGATTTCTCAGTTTCCCATGCTCTGCCAGCGAGCAGGTACACAAGGAGCTGGGAGGGAGCCTGGCCAGGACAGCTGACCCCAACTAGCCAAAGGGATATTCCAAAGGGGAACTGGCCAGGAGGGGCAGATCACTGCTCAGGCATCAGTCACTGGGTGGTGAGCAATTGCATTGTGCATCACTTGGCTTTCCTTGGGTTTTATTTCTCTCTATTTTTGTTATATTTCTTTTCATTATTATTACTGTTGTTATTATTTAATTTAGTTATTAAACTGTTCTTATCTCAATGCGTGAGTTTTACTTTTCTTCGATTCTCCTCCCCATACCCCTGGGAGGGGGAGGAGTAAGCGAGCAGCTGCATGGTGCTGAGTTGCTGGCTGGGGTTAAACCACGACAGAGCCAGAAGTTTTTCTATATACAGCAGGTGCTGAAACTTCACTGCCAGCCAGTAGCTATTGTGTCTCTCCCATATAAGCAGAGAGGAATATGGATAAGGCAAATACACATCACTAGGAATCGCTACAAACAGAGCCAGGTCTGACATTCTGGCCCACGGCAAACTGCACTTGTCAACTTTGGTGATGCGTGCTGCGTACCTGGAGAGGGCTTGGCCTCCTGGCCAGTAAATTGCCCAGAATGGGTCCCCGTAAGGCCACAGGTCAGGCTTTTCCCTCCAGAACCTGCAGCGAGGGGTGAGGAGGCGCAGCCGTATCTCTGGCGTGAGGTGCCCGCTGCTGGTGACCTCCGTGTTCTCCTCTAAAAATGCTCTCACCTCGGGGTCCAGAGGCTTGCCGGCGCTCCAATGGCAGCAGCGCTTCCAGCGCGGAGCGGGGCCTCCCCTCCTGCTCCTCCAAGCCTTGGCAAAGGTGTTCTGCCTGCCCAAGAGGAGGAGCCGCTTCCAGCCACGGAAGGCCATGTCTCCCCAAGGAAAGCTCGGAGCACAGCTGACCTGAAGCAGGTGATGAGGCAGAGAGTTTGAAACAAACTCACAGGATGTTGTTTTTCATAGTGCTGGATGACAATTCCTGAAAGGAGAACAATGCTAAGTACTGTTTCTTCAGTGACTTCAAGGCTAGGTACCACCAGGGCTTTAGGAAGTTGACGTGCTGTTGTGTGACCAGGAATGCATGCCTTGCCCCTGCCCAAAGAGCCTCTGAAGTCTGAAAGAAGTGGCATTTAAGGAAGAAGCTATCAAGAGACCCATTCAGGAGAACACTATAAACATATCCAGTGAGAAACAACCAGCTAGCAGGACAGCTGATAGAGCTAAAAATGAAACATGCGGCCTTTTAACATTTCCCTCCCTCTGCCTTGAAGATATACACACAGCAATCTACTCCCATTTAAGGTTCTTCCATCGAATCTTAAGATTTTGCAGTACAGCTCTGGCATTGCAGGGCCTATGGACATAACAAAGGTTATCAGTAGGTTGTCTGAGAGACACCATTAATTACAAGTTTTATAATGGTGATGAGTTTTTTATATGAAAACATCTTTTTAAAGGCAAGCAATTATATTTCCTCAAAAGACTTTCCTCTTTGTCCCTCAGATTTGTCAGGCTGCCAGCTCCAAAACGAAAAAAAAAAAAAATCCCCAAGTATTGATCTTAATCAGAATATTCCCAATTTGTTGCATTTCAGTCTGTATTTTAGAGGATCAGTTAGTCTTATGGTTCAATAGTATCACATGGATGATCTCAGCTGTAAAAGAAAGTAGACCTCCATCACTGTAGCCCACTTCCTGTGAGTCTATATAAACATGCTCCAAGATATCCAAAGAGAGAGAAACTGAATCCAACACATTTTTTAAAATTTTTTAAAAGGTGAAACATTCAGACGGGATGAGCTCACACCCAAAGGCCTTCTGACACTACTCGAGGCCAGTTTTCAGCTCACAAGCAGTGAAGAAAAGGAGAAGGGAAGACTAGTATGTCAGAGTTTAGACTCAAATATTTAAGAATCAGGAGAATGGAGAGTGGAGAGCCAGGGCACTCAGCTGAGAGGCGAAGGAGGAACAGCCTCTCAGCACTTCAGCACCATCCTCTCCTCACCCACCATCTCTCGCAGCCCTTGGGTCTTCCCCACACCGATCCTGCAAGTACACTTACCACGCAGTGGCCCGAAGAGAAAGCAGCTGTTTTCCTGCCTTCCTGCTCAGATCTCCTCCTTCATCCATCCTTTAATACATATCTTTTTTCCTTCCTCATCTTGCTCTCTCATTCCTTTTCAATAATTCAGACTCACTTGATTCAGTTTTTGAACCTCCCCCTAAACTGATGACCAGAGAAGCATTTAGTGCCTGTGCTTCCACAACAGCAAGATGGCAAGTACAAAGAGACACAAGAGAAACTGCACCCTCTTATTTTGTGATTGTTTTCTCTCTTCTGCAGTGATTTTCATGAAAAAGCAGAACGATGCATGAAGAAAATCAACCTCAGCCCACCCCTGCCAATTTTCCACAACAGAACAGTTGTGGCCAGCTTCACCATCTATAGCTGTGCAGGTTGTCCTTAAAAAAAAAAAAAACTAGACAAAGGGACAACAGGAAAAATATGCTAATAAAACAAAGTCTTAACACTTCATATTTCATTACTTCAGTTTTTCTTTTTTTTTTGTCTGTATTTTTAGTAAAAGTTCCTAAGTGTTTAGCGACTTTTTTGTTGTGTGCTGACCTCTGCTTCAAGTACTGGGTTTAGTTTGGTCACTTACTAAAATGTTAAGCTGTGAACTTCCTTCCCGTAACACTTTTGATATTAAGGTTGATAGTCCAAATAAGTCTTTGTTTAAAGCATTGGCTAAAGGCTTTGTATTTTTATTACAAATAAGGACATACAACTGAACGTTTTGCATTTTTCCACATTTGAGAATGCCATTCAGCAGAGTCTATGTAATTAATGAATGTAATTAAAGAATGCCTTCCTTTTTGAAGGCAGAGCTATATAATCCTCATCTGCCTGAGGGAAGCATGAAGTTAACTGAAATCAATCAGATAGAAATCTTGTCAGCTAACGCTGTATGCTGTTTTTTTCCCCACGAATTGCTGCAAATTAGCAGGGCTGAGATTCGATAGCATATATTTTTGCATTGCCTGTCATGATGATTACTCTTTTTAACTCAATTGTTGGCAGAGAAATATCTGCCAAGAGCTCTGCGCTCAAGAAGCCGAACTGAGCTTAAGCATCTAGTGCGGGGAAGGCGCCAGGATAGATACCCTTGTGCTTGACACCCCTGTCCTTCCCATCTTATCGGCAATAAAATCAGTGGGCCAGCAGAACTTGGAAAAGAGGACAAGACAAAGCCAAACGCACCAAAAAAAAAAAAAAAAAAAAAAAAAAAAATATTCCTGTGCAATTTAAGTGTTGTTTTGTTTTGCTTTTTTTTTTTTGAAAGCAGCAGGTGCCTCTCAAAGCACAACCCCAGGGGCCCCAGGGACCGCCCGCCTCAGCCAGCCCCGCGGCCCGCAGCCACCGGGAGCAGCCGCCGCTTCCACCCCGGCGTCCCAGCTCGCCACCCCGGGCTGGGCACCCCTCTGCAGAGCGGCCGCCGGCCTCGGGCAGCCCCAGCGGCGCGGCGGCGGAGGCCAGGGGAAGGCCGACAGCGGGGCCGCTGCCTGGGCCGGGCCAGGCCAGGCCAGGGCGGGCCGGGCCCCTCCAGCCGCCGCTCCGCCGGGCCGGGCCGGGCCTCCCACCTCACCCCCGCCGGGGCGGGACCGGGGCCGGTGCCACGGAGCGCCCGGCCCACACCTACCTGCTGCCGGCCGCCGCTCAGCTCCGCTCCGCCCCGCGGCGCCGGGGCCGGGGCCTGCAGGGCCGCAGAGCGCCGGGCTCCCCGCCCGCCCTTAAAGCGGCAGCGCGGCCGAGCCGCCGCTGCCGGCCGCGGCCGCTGGGCTCCCCGGGGCTTCGCTGGGCCGCAGCGCCTCGGGGCAGCGGCCTGGGGCTGCCCCTCTCTAAAGCCCGGCCGCTGATCTTGTGCTTGCCCTGGTCCTGCTTCGCGTAAAAGGCTTTTTCAAACCCTTGCGTCAGTGTAAACTCTGTATTTTAAAATGTTAATGAAAATCCACGTGGGAAAAGGAGTAATAAATAACACATATCCAAATTTGACAGCAGTGAAAATGAGGGTGTGGGGGTTGGTTGGTTGGTTTGTTTGTTTATTTGTTTCCTTTGCACATCAGATCAAGGCCACTACAAAATCTGGCACGGCCTAACCAAGGTTTCCCAATCTCTTTGAAACAGCAATGGCTATTGAAGATACCGGCCACCAAAGGACCAGCCAGGCAGCGCTCCAGTGCCGGGTCTGTTCCTCAGGCAAGCTGAATCTCTGCTTTCCCCTTTGCAAACTTCTCTTCCCAGTGTTCCATCCACCCGCCCATATTTCTGCTGTAATAAAGATCCCTTTGCTTCTCTCCTCCTCAAACCCTCTCCAGCATGGAGAGGAGGGAGGAGATCTTCCCTTAAAGCACTATCTTCTTGTTACTCAGGAGGGCACAGCTCTGACGCAGGGAAGCATCCAACAACCTGCAAACGGTGGCATTTCCTCTGAGGCCACAAACTGCGTTTTCACTAGGCAGCGACTGCGACTCACCCGTGGCTGGACAAGGAACCAAACCCTGCCGCGTCTTCCCCCCTTCCCCAGCCGCTGTCCTCCACAGAGGGACCCCCCCGGCCAGGGGATTGCCTCCCACCCAGGTGAGCCCAGGGCCAAGCCCAAGCCCCTCCTGAGGGTGCAGCAAGACCAGGCCTGGGCTGGACATGGTTCCTGGGTTTCCTGCCGGCTGTTCCGCTGCAGTGATCCCATGGCCGTCCTTCTACAGGGGCTGGTTTTGCTCCGTTGATTAGCTGGCTCCAGCCAAGGGAGCCTGGAGAGATGCTTGTGGCTCTCCAGCAGCTCTCACTGGGTCTCTGCCCCATCTCCAGTCCCATCTGCTGGGATTTAGGGAACGGGAGCAGCTTCTGAAAACACGAGTGAGAAACGTGGTTTTCTCTAGCTTCTCTATGGGACAAAGTGACCCATATTTCACATGCTGTGCTTTGAAAAGGCTCTTGTGCATTGCCTGAGGTGACAATCATTAAATCCTGCAGCCCTTAGAGTGCCAGGTTTTTGAAAATAAATCTGGCCATTACACAGCCTAAACCTGGATCTGCCCAAATCTCTGGGATTATGAGGCCATCTAGTGATTTGATGGTTTAATACAATTAAAATGTGCTCTCCAGGTTATAAAACCGGATCTTTTATTTAAACGTGGGTGATCCCTAGTGTCCCGAGAGAAGGTGGCCCCTCCATGCTGGGCTGCAGAGAGGCCAGGATGGAGGCAGTGCACTGGGAGGAGGCCACGACCCAAGCAGCAGCTGGCGAGCACCTATCACATGAAGGACCCTGGAGTCCACAGACATGTTAAGCTATAGGAATACTTGCATGCCTTTTACTCTTGTAAAGCAGGAGTCACTCTCAGACTTTTTAGAAATTATCCCCCAAATTTATATAAAGGTGTGGACCTTTGTGTTTTCGGCTCAGGAAGGCCATTATTTCTTGGAGCCCTTATGGGAACCATGAAGTTTCAAAGGTCTTTAGTCTTTCAGCAGCTTTTGCTGGTCTTCTCCAAGGAGAGAGACATTGTAAACACCCATAATACCCCAAACTGTGCATAAAATGTGTAATTCAGGACACAGGTCTTTGTGCCCTCTAGATACTCACCATCATTCTAGGAATAAAGAACTTGGTAATGTAAAAGGAAAATTATTATCAACATCAGCTCCGGATGCCATGTAAAATGTGTTAACAGCTCTAAGCATACTGACAGGTGATAATACACACCTATCTTGCACATTTTAATTTATGCCTGAGAAGGTTCTCAGAAATCTGACAGGAAAGCTTTTTCACTTGAATCTTCAGACTCTTGGATTGGGTATTTTAACCAATAACTTCTCAGGTTAGTTTTTCTGAGCTCCCAAGATATGATATTACTTGGTAGCTATGTGAACCTCAGTGAAGTCACTGCTGTCTAATACAGACCAACAGCATGCTGAGGCAGTTAAAAAATATATTCCCTTTCTGCTCCCAGTTTAGGGATTTCTTAGGTGAACAAGGAGGGGTGGAGTCCTTTCTTCCCACTAATGTTGGCTAGGATGTTAAAACCAGAAATCCACTCTTTCTTATTTAACTACAAATAGTTAGTTACTACTGTACAGACCCCTAGCAAGACATAAGAAAGCTCTGATACCAATGATAGCTGCCATCCCTCTTGTGAAAGTCTATGTGAACCACTTAGACTTTCAGGACATGCTTTGTGCTGATTACTTCAGCAAAGTATCAAAGAAAAAAATGCTTCACTTCCAAAGGCTTTTTGCTTCAGATGGTGACATCTTCAGAATTTCTGCTGCTCAAATGTATGGTATACTGTGCAGCCAACTACCATAACTGTGCTGGAATTTGCTCTGAGGACAAGGACGTCTTTGATCACAACATAACATCGATTTGGTGTACTATGGAGGAGCGCAACACTTGCAAAATGCAGTTGTAGAGGAGCACACGAGGGACTCCTGCATGTCCAAGGGAATTAGCGGATTACTGGCTGATGATACAACTGCCCAGGTCTCAGGGGAAATCTTGTTTGAGCCAATTAACAACAAAGAAACGGAACTGCACAATGGCAGAGAGAAGGGGAAGGCAAAGAGGAGGGGAAGGCAAAGAGGTGCTACCTGCACATTAACCAGCCCACAACTCATGAATTTTCATAGGTACAAAGGTTATACTCAAAGGCAGGCAGGCCTGTGGTTCGGCAGCCAGGTGATCACCTCAGTTCATTCCTTCTCGCTGTTACAGCCCCAATTTCCAGACCTTATTTTGCAAGGCCAGCTGCCACAGTTTGCTGCAGTGATAGGACCTCACTGCAATTTGACATGAGGAAAGATGGATGGATTCAGAGCACTGTTGATTTGTAAAAAGCATTCCAACTACTCAATATCACAGTCAGGGTTTTTGCACATCAGGATCAATTTGTAGTTGCCCAGAAGCTGTGTAGGTAAGTCATTATCAAAATGTAGCTGGCACATTAGCTGGTAGCTAAGGTAAAATTGAAGATGAGAGCTCTGGCTAGGTAAGGGAGGGGCAATTCAATTATTCTGTCGTGCCTTCAGCTATAATCCACACCTACTCATTTCAGAATCACAGTACATCTTTTGAGGTTGAAGAATAGATATCCTAACATAACAAAAATCACACATTGCCTGTAATATGTCCCAAAAGCATTAGATGTGTTTTTCATAGGATTACCTTTCCCTGCTGCCTTGCCAGCTGCATTAGGTTAGGAGCACAAAGGAGCAGCAGCTGGCAGAGATGAAGGCATCTGGCAGTGGATACAAGAAGGGGAATCTGCAAGGTGCAGCTTTTTTTTCAAGGTGGAGGTGGGTTGATGAAATGAGGAGAAGCTGTGTAATCTGGCCCTCGTGCCACTGCAGGTTCAGTCTTCCTGACATGGAGTCCCTGCAAGAGCCTTAATAGTAACACCAAGCACTTGAAAACTATTATCTTTGAACTTTTCCCTGGTTTTTGTCTTTTGTCCACATGAGCAATTGAAGCATGCTTGGCCTTAGCTGGCTGCTTGTGTTCATGCACAGTCAGACATAGCAGCATTTTTGTAGCATAGGTGAAGACTGGGAAGACACAGATTCAGATGGTTTGTGCTTCTCTGTTTGGGTAGTTGTTTTGATGTTAAAACTAGAGAGTGCGTATTTTCAAGCTCTGTTTTGGAATAGCTGAAGTCTCCTTGAATTAATGGGATTCCCATATATCTCTTACAGTAATGGCACTTGGGCTCCTAAGTTTTAGGTGCTAGCAATATTTTATGGCAGTCAGCTAGCATGAGTGAAGCCTCACTGTGGAGGAAAATTAGACAGAGAGCAGTCCAGCCTGATGAACGTTTCTGCAGTTAATGAACGTGTTCAGGGATGTGTCCTATAAAAACAGATGCTCTGGTGGGTTTAGTTGCACAGCAAGAAGATTGCAGCAGTGGCAGCAGCAAAGAGGAATCAGCCACCACAGTGGCATAGCCACTTCTGGTGTTACACTACATGTATTAATACACTGAAAGAGGTGTGGGGGTGGTGGTGGGCAGTTTGCAGTGGACTTTGTATCTCCCTTTGGTCTTCCACAAACTGAACTATTCTGTTGTACTCCTTGTACTGGTGTGATGCTACTGTGGTCATCTGTAATAGCTTTCTGGAAGCCAGTGTCCTATCTTGGGTGGCCAGGGGCCTGGGGTCACAGCATTCTGCAGGAAGCTTCTGGGTATCCCCATGGTCCTGGCCAGCTCTGGAGCCAGCCCAAGGTGGGACAGAGCTGCAGAGAGGAAAAAGGAGAGACTGTAAATAGAGCAGAGCAATGGCTGTGCCTAGTGTCACTGCATTTGTTTAGGGTTTTTTGTTGTTGTTTTGTTGTGTGTTTTGTTTGTTTGTTTACTTGTTTTTTTTTTTTTTTTTCCTGTGCTTTCCTGCAAAGCCCTGAGAGAGGAAGTCAATGGAATCTGGGTGAAAATAGGCAGCCAGGGAAAGGGGCTGCTTAGGCACTATGGAGCCTCTCCAGTCTTATCTCCAGACAATCTGTAGCTGTCTAAGTTTTCCTAAATGAAACTGAGACATTCTCCATGTCCCCATCCCTCCTGACTTCCTATGACAGGAAAATCCATCCTGTCTGATTTCACCACATGACTTTGTCCCACATCCCTACCACGTGTGATGTACCAAGGGCAATACACAAGTCTCGTGACTCAGCATATTTGTTAGACCTTAGCTTTTCCCAGGCAGGCAGAAACAATGTCAAACAGAGCTAAGCCAACATTTAGTCTGGGGCATGAGACTACAACCACAGGTTGAGGCCTTAATGTAAGTAATGTTTCACAAGTTTAGCTCTCTTTGTTGTTAGATAGTTTGGATTCACTACTGTGTTTAAACCTATGACTAATTCCTTCTCTTCTCTCCAGACAGAACAATTGCTCCAGCTTGCTCCAGAAATAAAGCCTGAAGCCATAGTCTGTTTGGTCATCTGATCTGAAGGATCATGCTAGCAGTCATTGGTGCCAGAGTTAAGGTAAGCAAGTCAAGTTTTCAAGGAGTTGCATCAGTTCATAGCAGCCAGTTGATTTTGTAATTCAAATTTCTTAGTTTCCCCTCTGGTGCTCAGAGCCTGGCACCAGCTGAACTCTTCCTTTCACCTTCCACATGGTAGTCTGCCAAGCATTTGGACTCTTCCAGGGGCCTAGGGACAGAGGAATTAATGGACATTTGAGACAGACAAGACTGACAGGTGGTGCTTATTCTCTAGAGTTCCTAGAGGAAGCTGTTTGCCAAGGACCTGATACAATATGCCTCCTCTTTTGGCTCATGTTTGCTATTGCATCTTGAGAGGGTTTCAGGGTCCTCAAGCAACTCAGTTGTGAGTCAGGGTCATGCTATGTCAGGACGTCTGCTCTTCATTATCTTGCACTAGTATCCAGAGGACATGGAACCACAGCCAATACGACTGCAAGGATGCCCAGAGAAATGGAAACACAGCTCCCCTGCAACACCAGCCAGCTCCCTCACATGATGAACAGGCTGGGGCTTAAGTTCAATGTGACCAAGGACAAAATAGCTACTATTTATGCACATGGAGGCATGGGAAGGTCACAAGGGGCTGAAAGAGGACTTAGTCTTTGGACCTCTTATCAGTTTTCAGTGGTATCCTACAAAGTGTTAGTTGCACTGGGTTTCTAATCCATAGTTATGCAGTATAGTCTCCAAGGGGGTGCTTGGCACACCTCTTTGGGATACAGGCAACTCTGTCACTTCTGTATCAACAGGTTTCAAATGCATGCATGACCAGATCCATGGTTGGATTCAATGATCTTAAAGGTCTTTTCCAACCTCAAATGATTCTGTGATTCTATGGAGTTTGCTTACAGAACAACATACAGACATTAGCCCATAAATAGTGTCTTCGTGCATTTCAAGATTTTCCAAGCTTGGTGTGTTGGCAATACCCTGCAATTTCCTTCACTGCAGCAGAGGACACAGTGCAGCGACACCTGAATGGCTCCTTGGGAGCTGGCTTACTTCCAGCCAGACCTGTTACCTGCAGAGCTGAGCAGGCTGCACATGGAGCTGCCTGGATGCCTCCTTGTCACAGCCCCAGAGCTCCTGATAATTAAGGCAGCCCCAGAAACTCCCAACCTCACACTGCGTGATCTTGCATCTTGGATTTTATCAACTGAGGTGTCAAACTTCATGCAAGCAGCTGCATCCCATTCAAATGGAAGCAGCAGTGTTGCTGTGACCCTGCAGCACAGTTCTTTGGCTGTGGCACCATGAACTGGCACTGAGGGAGCCGGGGCAGGAGCATCTGCAGGCAGCCTAATCCTCAATCTAAATAAATGGCCCAAGGATAACAGAGCAGACAGGCTCTGTCATCTTCCAAACAAGAAAGTAAATACTTCCACAACTGAAATCAGCACATCTTGGCTATATGTGCTGGTGTCAGGGCCTTGAGGGTACTAATGGGTCTTACTGGCCCTGCTTACCCCCCGGGGCTCCCCACACCCTGCCCACAGCCCAGCACCCTACTTCAGCACCCCTGGGGCTGTCGGTCCATGCCCCAGTGATGGCACAGCAGGGCTGCTCTCCAGCTTCCCCTCAGTCCTGCCTTGCCTGTCTATGAGCCCCACCAAGCTGCCTCCCCCACGGCCACCCCAGGGCTGTGTTCCCAGCCTGGTTCCCTGCACTGGGCCTGATCCTGGCCCCCATCCATGGGCTGACATCAGAGTCAGAGCAGCCGGACACGCTGACATTACAGAGCACTGAAGACTGCTCTCTTGCCTTCATCCCCGCCTGGTAGTGCTGAGCACCAGGAAGTCAATGTCCCTGATTTAGCCTGGGAGATACTTTTTACTGGGATTTCCCAATAATAGTCGCATTCAGTCTGGAGAGAGGTGCTGAGATAGCCCATCGCCACCTCAGACAGCATCAAATGCTCCCACCCCCAAAGGATGTGCTTGATGGGAACGGCTGGAATTGCTCAGCATGGATCCGAGCTTAAATAAGTTGTGACTATTGGTTTGCAAGGAAGTCGCTAAGAACCATGATCCTCAGGGAGCAGCGAACTGCTTTGATCTCTGTCCTTCTGTTCAGTGTGAGCTCAGAGCTGATTTCCAGTAAAGCACGAGTGCAGTAAGCCAACACAGAAAAGCTACAGTCTAGCTGTTGTCAGTAGCAAGTCTTCTAAGCATCAAGTACTTCGTGGCAATGTGCTGTTATCGGGCATGAAGAATAAGTGACAGAGAGATATGGCTGAACCTATGGACATAAATGTTTAGACTTCTGCTGAAAACACTGGTAGGGAAATTGAAACAGACCCTTTAGTGCTTTGATTAGCAAGAACTGCTTTTAGATTCCTAGCGTAACATCGCTGCAATGATGTGAACATGCATTATAACAGAGCATTCAGCAAAGCAGCAGTTCTTGCTAAATGACAAAACAATTCACAATGCATATTCATTGCAGGAAATACTTTTCATCTGTCCTTGATCTCATGTTGTATATTGGCTATGGATTCGGTGGATTTGGATTTCTTTAGCATGCCCTTGGGCTTTCAAGTGTGTTAGGATGCATTGTAATGTAGATGCGGGGTGTCTGGCACTTCTTACTGAATAAGGCTTCAAAGGGCAGCTGGGAAATTGAAATCAGGGAAGTTGAAATCAGACTCTAATTACACTTGTACAGGGGCCAAAGGCTTTTTGACAAAGACCTTACCTGCTGTTCATAGACAGATTTTGTCCAGAGCGCGTGAAAACATACAGTTGGTTCACATTCCCACTGTTATCAACAGACATGGGACTGCCTGATTTTTGGAAACTAAGGTAAAGGAAAACACTATTTGTGACTAGGCTCTGAACACAATGCTGTTACTTAAGTAGATGTGACAGCTTGAGTGCATCTTCTCTGGAAGCTTTCCCAGTGCCGGAGATCAGCTAACTGGGAGCAGGGACCACTGGCACAGCTGTGCCTGAGCCCCTGCCACCACAGACAACATTGTTGTGGGCATGTGGCCTGAGCAGCTCACCAGGATCTTCTCCCGCCTTTCTCCATGCCACAATATGTACTTATGAAGCTCTAGTGCCTCTTTTTTTTTTTTTTTAAAAAAAAAAAAAGTCCACAGCCTTTTCCTTATGCTTTATATGGACAAGTATAGTATGTTACAAGACTCTTTAACCTCCTTGGGTCTTTCCTGAACAGACAAATTGTAAGGTACCAGGATTCTGGAGCACTCAAAACAGAAGAATTGGAGTTTAGTGACAGGGAAGCAAGCACCCTCACCAGAGAGCAAAAATTATTTGAAAATGAAGAACAGAGGTTTGCTGTCCACACCAAATACCCACCTTGTCTCAGGCCTGGTGTGGAAGGCATCTGTCAGCAGCCGAGGGCGTTGGGACACACGGGCTGGAAGGACTCTGTGTCGGGGCTGCTGCCTGCATAGAGGTGCATCTGCTTCCCAGGGCAACATCACTGGGACCAGCTTTGGGAACAATAGAGCTTTGTGCCTGGCAGATGTTCGGGCAGGGGAGAAACAGTATTTGCTTTCTTTTCCTGAGGGTAGTTGAAGCACAGGGAGTGCACTGACCTGATTTCCAGGAGGCTGGTGCTTCTGCAAGTCAGGCTATGAGCAATTTGTCCAAGGTCATGCAGTGAGTGAGTGATGCTGTCAGAGATGGATGGAAATCTCTGTGTGGGTGCTTTAGCTTGATGGTCGCAGCACAACACCTCCATTAGTGCGTGACATGCTAGTGATTTATCCAAGCAGCGTACTTTGCTGATTAGGTTTTATCTCAGTAGCGGCTGGAACAGTCTGTGTTTTCTCCTACATGCAAAGAACAGAAGGTGCACATCACTCTGAGCAAAATATGGTCTTTGATCTCATGGTCTTGGCACTGAATCATACAAAAGATAATGATTGCATATGATCCTTCTCCTGACTTTGGGGCGGGGGGAAGGAAAGCTCATCTAAACAGTTCCTCATCAGGAGGAGGCGCATTTCTCAAGCTCAGTGTGAAATCACAGGCAGAAGTGGAGTGTGATGCCAGGAGTCACCCCAGATTTTTGCTATTCTGTGCCACTGAACACATGGAGAGGGAAGGGCAGGGTGGTGAAGGACACAAACATCCAGAGACCAGGCATGGCAGCTGTGGGACTTGCCTGGGAGTTGTTTCTGAGGTGATGTTCAAAGTCCATGTGCCCTATCTACCTGGGTTGTTATTGCCAATTTCCCCCCAAGATCTGAACCCCTGAGAAGGCTGATTCAGGCTGCGGGGAGGTTTGAAACAGAGGAGATGAGGCCAGCCCTGAAGAGGAGTTGCCCGCTGAGCAGAGGGCTGAGCTGCGTGCTGTGAAGCCTGGCTTGCCGCAGGACGACCACACGAATGAAGATAGGCAGCACAGTTTCATCCTTGCCCATGTTTCAGGATCTGTTTTCTGATGGTGAACTGGATGTGCTCACCAAGGAGGCAAATGAGACTACAGATTTTTTTTTTTTTTTTTTTGTGAAAGAAGCAGTAGGAGTATAGGGCCAGTCCTGGGAGGGTGGGAGGAAGAAGGTGCAATTAACTATTAAATCATTTCAATTGCATCCTGAAACCTCTCCCTCAAGGATCCTCTCTGAAAGCAGATAAGAGTAGAATATGTCTATATGTGTTTGCAATGCAAAGGCATATGTATGATGGATATACATAAAATAAATCAAATGCAATGAGCTACAATAGGGAATTAGAGATTTTAAGCCTTTAAATTTTAAATCACGGAAGGTTCAGAGATCCTATGGCAGAGATGTAGGAAAGTAGTCATCTTTTACTTTGTTATCTATAATTCTGCTGTATGAATAATAATTATACAATGTGACAGAGGAAAGCTGTGTGCTTTTATTCAAGCTTAATCTCTACAGATATGAAGCCAGTGTAGAAGATGAGCTACTTGCTTTAATGGCATTATAATTTGATTTAATATTAGAATATGTGCCTGCAGTATCTGCTTTCTAAGCAACAATGAATTATGCTGGAGGAAATATTCTTTGCTTTATGCCTTATGGCTAGTGATCTGGTTTATTTGTTTTTTAACGCCAAGGCAGCCAATACCTTTCCAATGCTTTAAGTAGTCCTCTTGCATAAACTCAGAGAATAAAAATCACTTTCTTTATGAGCCTTGCTATAAAATCTTCTGCTGTTGTTTTTCTTCCCACTTCTACTATATACTCTTCTCCGCTTTGTGCCAGAATTACTTCAATTTCATTCTTACAGTCCATTCTTATCTTTCAGCTGACTATTCACACTTAGCTTCTCGTGAAGTAGCTCACAGCACTGAACTCAGCTGAAAGTCAGGCAAAAGTAGAAAACTGTTCTTCCGAGCATTACAAACATTCGTATTGCATCTCAGTTTTTTTCCCTCTCTTCCACCCTACAGGATCTCATGACCCCATAGATATTAGAGAGAAACAGGAGAGGCTTTCAATGGAAAATCAATGTGGCTTGGCAGACGGTGAAAGATTTTTTTACAGGGAACTGTAGAGCTGTGTGAAGGAACTGAGCAATCCATCACCAGTAACATGATTTCCAACTCATTGAAGAACACTGAAGAAAATAAAAAGTGAAGCAACAGCATCACAGGAAGGAGAAGAGATGTAACCTTTAAATAGCAGATTTTTTCTACCTCTCTGAAGCATTGGGCACTGGCTCTGTGCAGAAATAGGGCAAAGAGCTTGACAGGCCTGTATTCTTATCTTTTATGGCAGATCCTAAGGGTGGGGGTGCTGACATGTATGTTAGTGTTTGACCTGGTTTAAACTAACAGGTTCTGAGAAACAAAGACTCACTGAGAGATTAATGAGAGAGAAAGCTGAACCAACTTGATATTGAGAGAAATATTCACTGCAACTGAAGAGACGAGTACCTAAGGAAGAAGAACAAATCTGGCAAGTCAAAAACCTTCCCTTGCTGCATTTCGCCACTGGCAATCCAGCTGGTGATGAGACAAAGCTGCTGCCACAAGAGACCAGATCAAAGCAAAAGGTCCCAGGCAGATCTGGTCTATGCCAGGAAGTTTTCTGTGCTCACTCCAGTCTGAAGTTCTCAATCCTACCTTATCCCTGTTCCTTGGAGGAACACATAAGAAGCTCCTAGGACCCTGACACTGCTTTGTGCTCTGCTGTGCCAGGGACAAGCTTTATCTCCCCGGGATTACTGTTAATATGCTTTGAAGAGGGGACATCCAGCCCATCCGTGCCCCTTGTGGACCTTTAACACCCTTTGTTGGTGAAAGGAAAAAAATACTTGTAATCTCACCCCGTTACCTCTGGTCATCCCAGATGTGCTTCACAGCACAATCCTATCAGTCACTGCCTCTTCCCAAGCTGTACAAATGTATTTCTGTGGCATTTTGCTGATTAGTGAGTATGTGCAGCAGCTCATGATGCTTTGGGGCCTCATCTTCATTATCCTCTTGCTCTTGCTCTTGCAAGAAGCCTCCGCAGCCCCTTTGTGGACTTGCCTGTGACAGCTGTGAAATTTAAGCAATCAATGTTGCAAGTAGAGCAGAAGTGTTTGATCTGTCTCTAAAGCAATGCAGCCCTTCTAGAGAGGCACTGGTGACCAGTGCAGGTTGGGTTTGGATGGTGAAAAGACAACCAAAATGCCTAGATTCTGGAAAAAAAAAAAAAAAAAAAAGTAGTGCAGAAAATCTCAGTATGGAGAAAAGGCAATTATGGACTTGGAGGGAACACCTCGGTGTTTTCCTGCGCTGATGATAGCATGCATTAGGGGATGGCATGTGATACAGAGAGGTGCCATTGCACTTTGCTCACACTCCTGATGTGGGAAGACCTCATGGCACAACAGAGCACAGGGTGGGCACAAAGTGCTCCTGGGTGCTGCAAGCCAACGCAACTCAGCTGAGTCTGCTCTGCTGTGCAGGCTTGCTCAAGGCAAAGGCCTCTGCCACCTTTTTCTGGGAGCTGCTGTTTATACCTAGGTAGAAGAAGTGGCTTGCAACAGACTTGGCTGGGTTCCTATCCATTTTGTGCTGACATAAATGTAGCTGAAGAGTGAAAGAAGACAAATGAAAAATTAAGTATCCAGTCCACCTCCTGGAGTGGAGGAAAATATTGCCACTGGGCAGGAAGAAAAGGGTCTTGATGTAACTAAAATCCCGCAGTTGAGCCCTGAAACTTTTTATCATAATTGATGTTGGTTGTCCAGTGAGCTAACTTTCAAGCTTATTTTCACTGTTAAAATCTCCTAAAAGTTATTGATTCCTTGGGATGAGAGCCAGGATGGAGGGATAAAACATCGGAGTGAAGAAGAGCTACCCAAAGACAGCACGCAGTGTCTAGAGCTTGACCAGCTTGGAGGAGAAGACTGGAACAACTTGGATGGAGGGGTTTAGATGAGAAAAATCCAGGCCCAGGGACATAACATGACTTACCAGAGCCCAGGCACGTTTGACACAGCCAGGTCTGCTGGCACTGCAAAAGAGCTGAGCGGCCTCGTTGAGATGAGGTCTGTGCCAAGAAGATCGGTCATTTTGGAAGAAAAAAAATCACTGACCCTATGAAACTCCTACAAGAGTGTCTGTGGGAGGTTTACGTACCAGAGCAGGAGCTCAACCTCACATCTGCTCCAGAAAGAGGAGTGAGGTTTTTAGATTTTATACCCGTAATCTCATATGTTGTCCTTTATCCCCTTGTTTAATGCTACATGTACTACTGATTTTGTTGAGATTGAAGTGTCTGTGCACTGAACTTTATTCAAGCAAAAAAAAAAAATTCTGCCCAGTACAGAAGACAGCTAAACCAAAGCAATCTAGAACCACCTGCCACCCAAGGAAAAATGGTCAGGACCATAGTGTGACATTTTGGGTTAATCTTAGGAGCAGTCCTAACTCAAACATCCTTTAGAGACTCCGGTGAAGCCTCTCTCTCGGACTGCCCTGAGACACCCATGCCATCGAGCCTCCAAAAGGCTACAATAAGCGAACAAGATGGTACTTCTCCACAGTAAGAACAATTAGTTTTGAAGGAGAGTTGAAGACTGTCTTAGCTCATATCATCTGACCTAGAGCTGAATAAGCAAATACATACAAGTTAATAAACAAACCAAACCAAATAAAATAACCTATCTCTCAGTACAAAGTCGAGAAAAATATCTGGTTTCCTGGCAAATTCCTACGTGGATCTAGCAAGGTTCAGTTTGTTACACTGAGTGCTGCAACCACCAGAACCAGTGATTGTGACAGAGGACTCATTTTTTTCTTGCTTATTGGGAATATTGGGAAGTGAGGAAATGGTTTTAGCTCTTGCCTGCTTTCAGTAGAGCACTACAGGAAGCTAAGAAGCAAAAGGGCATAAAACTTGTTAATGCAAAGGGAAGAAGAGAGAGAGAGATGCTGATCTAAATTGCCTCCTGGTAGGAAGGAACAGTTATTCCACATACTTCCATAAAATGACCCCATGCTGGATGAAATATCAAGTTCCTTGCAGGCATTTCCTTCTCAAAGGCGCTTGTTGAATAAGGACAAATGTAAGTCATAGAAAGAGGGAAAAATGTGGCTCATGCTGCCAAGAGCTAAATGAATGAGGTCATAAGAGTCCACAGTAAGCAAAGGATGAGACACTAATCATTACAGATTTCATGGACAAAGACTAGTAAACAGTTAAACACAGAAGGATGAAAGCGCATATTGAATTCTGCAAACCACCTCCTTAAAATATAGAGGTGGCAGAATTATCTGACCTGAGTAGGGATCTCCTCAGTTTGGGGAAGAAAATCTCAGAACTTCAAAAGGGTCATCTCTGTCCCTTTAAAAGTAGGTGCCACCCCCGAACGGATCTGCCAGTACTTTGGCATCGGGTAATAATAATGGGAAGGTTTTAGCAAGGGGGATAAAATAATACTGATTTCTTCCTGGATGCGGCAGAATGGTTAGTAAATCTTAAATAAACCGGGAAAGAAGCAACCTTTTAGATTTTTTTTTTTTTTTTTTTTTTTTTTTTTTTTTTTTTTTTTTTTGCTTTGAAACACAGCTCAGGTAGCAAAGAAATAAGCTCTCCCGTCCTGGAACATAAGGTGGTGTGATGAACCTCAATCACGGCGCAGGGCTGGAATCCGCACAAAAGCCATCCGTCCCCCCCTCTGTCAGCAGATCCTCACTGGGGTGGGTGGGTGGGTGGTGTTCCGACATTCGGGTCGGGAGAAGAAAAAGCCATTTTCTCTCCCTGCAGATTCCCAGCGGGAAACGCAGAGCGCAGCCCGGGCGCTGGGCCGTGTTGGGGGGTGGGGGTGTGTAACACCTCCGAGGGGAAGCGGCACCATCCCCTTTTTTATTTAAATAAAAGCCAACCTCCGCTATTCACACTTTGGGAGGCGGGAAGCTTTAATCACATATCCCGAGGATTGCGGACAAAATAAACAAACAAACAATAAATAAATAAATAAATAACAAACACAAAAGCAAACGTGTGGCAAAGCTGCCCGGGGCAAAATAAATAAATAAATAATCAAATAAATAAATAAATAAATACAAACACAAAAGCAAATAAATAAATAAATAAATAGATAAATAAATAAATAAAATAAGCACAAAAGCGAACGTGTGGCAAAGCTGCCCGGGGCAAAATAAATAAATAAATAAACAGATAAATAGAGAGATAAATAAATAAATAAAATAAATAAATAGATAAATAGATAGATAGATAGATAAATAAATAAAATAAACACAAAAGCAAACGTGTGGCAAAGCTGCCCGGGGCAAAATAAATAAATAAATAAGCAAATAAATAAATAAATAAAAATAAACACAAAAACAAATAAATAAATAAGTAAGTAAATAGATAAATGGATAGATAAATAAATAAATAAAATAAGCACAAAAGCAAACGTGTGGCAAAGCTGCCCGGGGCAAAATAAATAAATAAATAAATAAATAAAAATAAACACAAAAGCAAATATATAAATAAATAAATAAACTAAACACAAAAGCAAACGTGTGGCAAAGCTGCCCGGGGCTCTCCCGCACCCCCAAAACGCCGCTAAGGGCGGGAAATGTCCCGCTAAAAGGCCGCGGAACGGGAAGGGGGGGGGGTTGGGGGGCGGGGGAGGGGAGCGGAACGGGGTGCGGGGGAGGCGCCGCCGCGGCCGCGCAAGGTTTAAATGCCCCGCGGGGGCGGGCCGGCAGCTGCCCCCGCCCCGCTCAGCTGACGGCGGGGCCGCTCGGTGCCCGCCCGCCCGCCGGAGCCGCCGCCGCCGCCCGGTGCCGCCGCTGGGTGCCGGCCTGCGCGCCCCCGCCGGGGATGGGGGGCGGCGCGCCGTGACCGGCCGGCGGGCGCGCCCCCGCGCAGAGCCGCGCTGCCGCAGGGACCCGCCGCCGCCGCCGCCGCCGCCGGTGGGATGAGCGGGAGCGGCGCCCCCGGGCCCGGCGCGGCGCCTTGCCGCTTCGCCCACTATTTCGTGCTGTGCGGCATCGACGCGGAGAGCGGGCTGGAGCCCGACGAGCTGGCAGGTGAG